GTGCTGCCAAGCGCTGTTTTTTTATCCTTGCTGGCGATCATGTTCTGACCCTTCTGAGCAGTGAGAAAGGCCCTCAAGGCCGAAAGCCCCTAGATTGCCTCGGATGCCCCTGCTAGGAGCAAAGTCTCTGCCATCGATCGTTTGCGAGAGGTGCCCCGGGGGACCCATGCCACAGCCTTTTCAACTTTCAACAACTCAATAAGTTGTGGTGCAGCACAAACAAACCTTGGGCTGTCGTTGCTGTCATCAAACTCACGTTGTTTCCCTTTCCGTGAGGCCGAGCAGTCCCGGAATCCATCAGTCATCGAGGCTGCCCTCGCGAGTGCCAAGGGGCTCCGGGTGGACCCGGACGCGATCAGCAGCGCTGAAGGTGTGTTGGAGAGGCCCTGATTTCGTCTAACGATATAGGTTTGGGAGTCCCGAGCTCAATGGACAGAACCTCCGACCCGCCTCTCCAAACAAGAGCCCCGTGGCCAGGGAATTGGGAATCCAACGCTTCGGGCTCAAGCACGACAGGGTCATTCAAGAAAGAGGTGGACAGGCATTGCCCATACCTGTTCAAGAACGCTTCCGGAGTGCGGACATCTTCTTGACACTGCTGCGGGTGGACTGGTCTAAATTTTGAGCCATGAAACTGACGACAGCCCCAAGCTACCGCAGACCAAAACGAAATGCGTGATTTTCCATCATGTTCTGTGATCAGCTAGGTTTCGGCTGGTTTTTCTGCATGAGCTGGGTCTGCTCAGGTGGTGTTCAGCAGGACGGTGCAGCAGGTCGCTATGCCAGTCGGCGTTTGCCACTACGATTCGCAAGAAGGGTTCGGTTCAAGTTGTTCTCCAAAAACTTCCCCATTCGACCTAGAATAGACCCGGAAGCTTGGCAATTTTCCGTCAATTTTCTGGTTCCCGAATTTGGGTGGCACAAACCCTGAAACCAGGCACTGCTTGGGCTGCATGCTGCGCTGCCTTTTCTTCGTGGCACCACGCACTCCCAGACACCGCATGGAGGCGTGTACCAGAGGTCAGAGTCTATGATCGAGGATATGTCAAGACGAAAAAGATGACATGATGATCATGATGATCATGATGATGATGACGATGATGATGATGACTTGGATTCTTGGGATGTTGTCCCGAGAGGCTCAACCAGTTCTTGGTGACTCCACTTGGCTTGCTCCTGACATTCCGCACGCAGCAGTCCATAGCCAGATTCAACGAAGCAGTGACGAACTTGGGGAAAATCTCCAGCGTTTGCAGAAGTCTCTCCCGCGCCCTGTTTTACCATGACGAGCGCGTCCCGAGAGTGCTTGGACTGCAGGGAGTTGGGCAAGTCTTGGGTTCTGAGCGCCATGAAGGCTGATTGACCTGTGTCCCGAGTCCCGAGTCAGTGCTGCTTCTTCTTCCTGGCTTCAAGCCTTGTCAGGAAATCCATCGCAAGCTTGCGGAGGACATCCGCCTGTTCCCTGAAGTGCTCCGGGAGCACCTCGAGAATCGGCGCACCAAGCTCCTCAACATCAGGCGGGATGATGTCAACAAGCCACTGGCTTTGCTGGACCGCGTGCATTACTGCATCTCCAATCTACTGCTGCTGGATTTATCTGAGCCTAGCCTTGCATCATGCTTGCATCGGCGACGCAGTTCCTGCAGATTTTCTCAATATCCTTTTATGGCACCACGCACAACATGATGATGACATAAACCCTACACCCTAGCCCTAAACCCTAAGCCCTGAACCCTAAACCTTGGGTTGCGGTTTTCCTTTCTCCGACCAATATACCCCGCATTGCCGTGGCTAGTCGGGTGGCAAAAAAAACCCTAAACCCTAAACCATGATGACATCAAAGGAGCGGAATCTGCTGTTGAAATATGTGGAGCAGCTCTCCGATCTTGTCAGCCCTTGCGAAAGTGTCGTGCAGACACCCGTGCCACAAAGCTATGTGCCTCGACGCTGCACCCCAGTCGAGTCACGAAGCTAAGTACTCTGGATCCAGGTACTCGCATGTTAATAAGGGGGCAGCAAAAGACTCCCCATTCGCATGCCGGAATAAGATGAAGCTGCAGCAGCTCAGCGTTTCAAGTTCCAAGAGCTTCCCCACAAGCTTCTTTAACCTCCTCTTAAGCGAACCCAATCCGTCAGCATCCGTTAGCAGGTCAGGCACACTGGCCGTTTCTTGGTGGTCTGGTTGCTCAGTTTGCCGCTGGCCCTTGCTGCAGAGACCGGCTGGCTCACGGTGCTGATCGCACCTTGGCATCGTGTACTTTCTGTCAATGGAATGCTGTTAGTTCTTCTTCGCCATGGGACCATGGCTACCATGCAAGGAACTCATCGCATCCTGGGGGCTGCTGGGCATACAGGACAGCTCACGACGCATGCAGCCGTAGCCGCCGTAGCCGCCGTAGCCAAAGGCCATGCCACCAGATGCCAGGAGATCGGGCTACGCCTTGAGGATCCATTCAACGGCTGCTTCCTTTGATGCGCTATGTGTGACCTTGCACATGGGGGATATTTTGATAGGCAACATGTATCACAAGGTGTGTGGCTGAGACTGTTCGTCGCACCGAGGTCAGGTCACCATGGAGGTGTTCATCACCACAGTGGCCAAAGAAGTACGTCAACGATATGTCTTGGTCGTAGAATCTCAGATGGCTTGACAGCTCTGCTTAGCTGCGTTTGGGAAAGTCAGAATTACGGAGGGCATCTTGTGCGGATGTAGCCAGTCTCGCCTTGCAGTCGTGAGTGCTGCAATACGGGGGCCGGGTTGGGCAATAAGGGCAGCAGTCAAGCCCGTAATCTTGTGCCAATCCAGCAGACTCGGCTTGTCCCACACAGCAAGATGCAGCAGAGCTTGGGCAGCTTGGGTAGGGTAGGGCTTCAACGTCCTCAGCTCAGGAAGACCTACTCCAAGCACATGCGCAGGGCCAGCTGGAAGACATGTGCCAGCGCTGGTCTCATCGATTTGACTCTCGCTTTCTGCGAATTCTCCGCGACGAGCAACGTTTGGCAGTGGAAGAGCGCCCCGACGGCCCTGGCAGCATGAGTGGGATTTGTACGGGCTTTGCGGCTTTGCGTTCACAAAAGAGGAGGGTCTAAGTTGAGTGACAGGACTAGAGACTAGAGATGAGACGGGGAAGAGACCCTTTCACCGAGAGGGCTACACAGGCACGTGACCCTTCTAATCATGCAGTATCCCGCATGCAAAGTCTACATGAATGAAAAGCATGCTACTCGTAACAGAATGCCATCCCGTAACATTGTGGCTGGAAGGACTTGACTGGAACTTGGTGGGTGGCAGTTGTCTTGCGTTTTTCGGCCGAAACACTGTTGGGCTCCAATTTCTTCACAACTACACAGCGAATAACGAGAAACACCGGAGTCACAAAGAGCCAATCGCCTCAGGAGCCGGCGAACATCGCTAGCGGCAGTTCTGGATTCTGTCAAAGAGTGGCGGGAAAAACGGAGAATTTGGCGGCGAGTGGCGCCTTTGACGTTCCCCTAGGAAGTGCTTTGTCCCTTGCGCAGGCGATCTTCAACGCAGGCGCCTCTTTTTTGTGTGTTCTGTCTCTGCGTGCATGTGTGGTGCATGTCATCAAATGTGCTACAAATGGCTGACTGAGCGCATGTCGAGATGGACAACTGCCACAGTAGCTGGCCCCCCCCTCCCCCCACCGTGCCCCACCCCTCTCTCAGCTGAAGAGTCCCGCGGTCCAGCCGCGTTTGCACATCAGACTTGCCGAGCACACAGGCACACAGGCATGCATGCGAGCCACAGAAGCTTTATGGCCCTTGAAGAGGTTCCTCAACTTAAGCCTCAAAGATCCTCACAGTGTACAGCTCGGGGGAGCGGCATTTTCGGTGTGCCTGTTGATGCTAAGTCTGCTAAGTCCCTGACTTTGCCCCAGGCATCGTGGCCGTTCGGCTGCTCCACAGCCACGGGGCGCTTTGAGACCCCAGAGTCCACTCCAGGGCGGGAGGGGAGGGGAGGGGCGGGGGGGGAGTACTGAGGGGAGGGGGTGGGGGCTCGAGAGATTCTGAAAACACTGCGACTGTGATCGCCAGTTCTGTCTGCAGAGCCTACAGGCCTGGAGACTATGAGTCGAAACCCGGCTCTATGCGCTGCGCTCGGGCACGAAGGAAATGCCATGAGTCATTGCACTCCAGCCAATTTGATCACGCCTTTTTTGTTGCCACCTGGTAGCCGCGCGGCCTCATGACGGACGATGCAGCTTCAGCTGCCACGATGTGCAGCCCAGACAGCCAAGAACCAACAAGTTGTTTAATTAGAGCAAACTGCGAGGCAACAAAAACGAGCAATGGTTGAGAAAGGGGCTATCTACGCCTATGCTGTCATGCATATACGAGTATAAGGGGCAATCCGGAACTCGCTTACACCCAGTCTTATAGAAATGCGATGAGTGGTGATCTCGACCCATGGGCGGCTTTGGACGACGAGAAGGAGTCCGTCGGAGAAGAGGACTATAGGGGATTAGGAAGGTATGTGCGCTTTAAAACTTTAAACATGCTCTGTGAGGAGATCCTGCGCCACGGAGCACAAAAAGCCCAGATAATGTCCCCGAGCCTGTTGACAAATCAGGAGCTCATCGAGCTGGACAATGGCGAGGTAGAGGTGCCAGTTGAGGAGGAGGACGACATCGCTCCCACCAAGGACGCCCCGAAGTTCCGACACAGCAGTTCATGTGATGCTCGGTTGGAACGGTGGCAGGCGGGCGCTGACGTGGCTCCGTGGGCTGCTCTAGACGAGGAGGAAGAGTCGGTCGGGGAGGAGAATGAGGCCCTCGCATGGCTTTCTGGGCATCTCTTGTTCAGATTCGTGCGGCTGGACCAGTACTGGACCAGACTGTTTGCAGGGATGGGGACAGCTGGATTTCGAGAGCGGTGGTGACGTTGTGGAGGTGGACGTCGAAGATGACGAGTTCCTGGAAGAGGAGCTTCCAGCGCCTGGGATGTTGTTTCTGAGATCTGCCTGCATGCTGTTGGGTGTAGCAACAACATCCCACATAATTAGGACTTCGCCACAGAGCTGCAGAGAGCAACAGCCATTGAATTCATTGTGCGGGCAGTGCAGGAGGTGGAGGAGCTGGAAGAGGCCTTCGAAGAGCTGGGGGAGCTCGGAAATCAAGATGGAGAGCAGATTGAACCGAACCAGGTGGGGATCCACCGGAGACATTTCCAGCTCTAAGAGATTGGAATCTGAAGGGCATAGGAGTGCAGATGAGTGCAGCAGCAGGACCAGAGCGAGGAAGAGGTCGTGCCCGGAAGGGAAGACGACCTGAAGCTGTCGGATGTCCCTGAGGACATGCGGGAGGCAGTCCAAGGCCTGACTGACTGGGGGGGGGGGGGTTCTCCGTTAACAGGTTTTTTTTTTTTTTTTTGGGGGGGGGGGGGGGGGCGGCCCTTGAGGGATTATCATTCTACTTGGGGTGTAGAAGGGGTACCCCTCTTTTGGGAAATGCCCAACTCAATCATTACTCAATCTGCTTTGACCGTGCAGTGGTCCCTGCAGCGGGAAATCAAGATGCTTTGCCCAGGCAGTTTGAGCCTGAAGCGGGTCTTGGACAAGAAGTACGGCAGCTGCTTGGCGTAGTCCTGGAGCACAGGTCGCAAGGTTGCCGATCGTCGCCGATCGCCGATCGTAGCTGTATTCACGACACCACGAGAATCCCCCGAACTTCGAAGGCTCAAAAAAAACAGATGCATAAACGATGGGAGGAAGGCTTCGAACTGCGATCCCTCTCGTGACAGTCTCGTTCGTGACCCCTTTTTTTCTCAAGGCCTTGAGACGGAGGAGCCCGATGCCAAGAGGCGACGCGAGGAGCCGATGGAGCCCCCACGGCAGGGACTCCTGGACCGCTGGCAGCTGAGCTGGGATCCTGCGGTGAGGCCGAGACGTCGCAGGGCCTTCTACTTTGTACGTGTTTAGGTCTTATAAGAACATATGACCACCGCAAGCATAAACATGATAATCTGACAATATAGCAATACAATAATACTTTACAAGCAATGTGGTAACTATAGCAGTACAAAAAGATAGGGATTTAGGAATAGAATCATCTAGTACAGTACACTTACGGGTGATTTTTTTCGGAGGCGAATGCTGAGAGGAGGAGCATGACTGGAGCTAACGATCTATGGAGTCAGCTGAGCAGAGCCTGAGAGGTACGTCATGCAAACCGCTGAGCTGGCGGATGTCGAAGAGGTGGCCAAGACCCCTTGGAAGCCTGCGGTGCGCCTGGCGCACTCTTGCATGCCCTTGCCTACGTGTCGTTTCTTACCCTACATGAAATTAGCTCGGCGGACTGAGCCACATCAGACTTTAGAAGCAGGCAGCATGGAAGTAAGGGCAGCTGTCGAGTCCCTTGTGAAAAAGGCTAGCTGCCTTGGGGCTCGCTCGCGCCGTGTGCCAGGCAAAGCATCCGCGCGCCAACGGACGTGATCCGAAGTCCTTTGCCGAGCAGGTGAACGAGAGGCTGCTCCTGGCAAGGGAAGCGAAGCTGTGCTCCAAAGAGGTGGTCAGCATCCTACAAGCTTGGACTCAGAGGCGCCCCGGGCTTTCTGTTTTTTGGTTTTCCTGCCTTTCACCCTGTGAGAATCTTCTGAAGCGTGACGTGCAGGCGGAACCTCAGCGAGGAGGACATCCTGCGCTTGAGATCAGCAAACCACAAGAACTTGAGAACCTCGGGCAAAGTGACTGACCGAACAGTTTCAGCAGCTGGGTCGTATGCAGCATGCATCGCCGCTAAGGATATGTGATGCAAGAATATGATGGCAAGCGGCCGATCCTAGAACTGCTGGACGAGGCAGCAGCCCAGCTTGTCTCGGAGGACAGTGAGAAGACAGAGGAGCCTGGCTATGCAAGTTAAACAGAAAGTTGCCTCGACTCGCCTCATCACGTCTCTCTGCATCTCGGAACCAGGATGCCTTGCCTGACAGTCCTGGCCTTTTCACGATCAGCAGGCTTTGGACCGGCTAGATCTCTACAATCTCTACAGCACTACTGCTGCAGATCTGTGCAGAGGTTCAACAGGCTGGAGTTGATCGACTCAATGGCAGACGCGCTGGTGCTCGGCCAATGGCTGAGTTCGCGTCACGGAGCCCTGAAAAGCCATCATCCCCCCGGCTGCGCCCAGGCGATGCCAACCTGACGTTCTCCGCTTTGCTTGCAGAACATCGGGAAGGTCCCGCATGCGATTCTGCCCACTCTTGGAGCCGGAGCATCACGAAACATGTCGTTTTTGGTTGGGCCCCTTGCTCATTCGAAGCCTGCATCGTGACAGGTCTTGGGCATGTTGGGCGCGTCGTTGCCACCACCTTTGAGACGATTGAAATCCTGCGAGAGACCCTCGTGCGGCATGGGGAGTTTTCTGCCAAAAGCTTCAAAGTGATGATGGTTTGGGCCTCGTTCTATTCGCACACAGCACAGGCGCTATGTGGAGATTGACCAGACTGTGAAGTTCCTTGAAGACAAGATGCGGCACACTTAGCTGCCTCCACTGCAGATGTAGCAGCAAGTTGTGCAGAGTGTCGTCAGGTCTGAAGTTCTCCACAATGTGGATGCAACCAGGCAGCGCAGTGTTGCTTGTGGATCGTTTGCCGTTAAGGTGATTGCCAGAGCTGTGGGGATCGAATGGCCGGGCCAGGTTTCATGTGTTACTACTACACTCTGGAATATTGCAAGGATCGTGCTTACTGAGCCGTGCTGGCCGACATGCAAGTTCGACACATTAGCGCTTCGAATCTCTCGAACCGCTGCACCGTGCAGAGAGGTACTCTGGCCTAAACCATCCCAAACCCCTCAAAGCCCAATGTTGCCCGAGTTACAGTCAAGCTGCTTTCAGAGGCTGCTGCCGGCTTTGTTTTGCATACCCGTCGCACGACAGGCTGGCCGTGGATCCTCGGTTCCAGGGCATGGAGAAGAAGTTTGGAGCCGTGTACTACAATTTTCCACATGCAGGCTGCCCATTTCATTCTGTGGCACACAGGCGATGGCAGCAAGGTGGTTCTAGTGGCTGCAGGTGCCATCCAGGGCTTCTTTGATGGCCATCCCTTTGTTCGCGCAGAGCTCATTTCAGAAGCCCAGTGGGAGCACGCCTGTTGTGGGGTGGCAGTGTCTTCTAGCCTCGGGCTTGTTAAGGCTGGCGTCATGAAAACTTGATGCAGCTTGTCAGCAAAACAGTGTTGCTGCCCTTCGCCCTTTTCGGAGTATGCCAGTTGTGATTCTCCGCAATGCATCGAGTACAGTCACACGAGAGTCAGCTTCAGGCACTTGTTCTTTAGAGCCTTGCGGGGCTTCGTGAAGAAAGGCGGAGTGGTGAAGGCGCCCTGCTGGGGTGGTTGTATGTCGTCAGCATGTGGTGAGTTTTCGTCGTTCGGTGTGATGTGTCCTCAGCCTGTGCTGTTCCTCTTAGGTGGCCTCGAACTGCAATGCTACAGGCGTGCGGTATTCCGACATTATCCTGGGGGCGTGCCTTAACCTTTTGGTGTGATGGTGCAGCTCGGGCACACGGCACAGCTCTGGCTTGAGCCCGCACGCTGTGTCAAACCCAGGCAGCAGAGCGAGTTCATCCATGTGGAGACCTTCCCTTTCCTAGAGTGGCAGCTGCCAGACTCACATAAAACCCTTGACCAAAAGTCCATGCCATATGACCCCCCACAAGCCTTGGCTAAAGCCCTGAATCCCTTGCAGCCAAGGCTCAGAAACTACCGGCGATCCTATGGTGACCGCCGCGACAAGGGACGGCAACTTGGCCCCAGCAGAGGGGAGATGAAGAGAGTGGGATCCATGGGGACGGAGTCTGCTTTAACATCTGCTAACATGCTTCTTCTGTGTGCAGACGCATGCGTTGGTAAGGGTGGTCTGGTTAGAAGCCATCCTGCTGAACGCACCACCACCCCAGTCCTTTTTGACGCACCAGGCGACCCGAGGATGGTCAGAACTACAGGGCCCAGAATGCTCACAGAGACATGGTTTACTGAGCCTCGGCATTGCAGAACTTTTGTTGTGCCCCATATAGGATCGTTCAGCGTGTAAAGATGCATTCCAAGAGCGGTCCTTCTTCTTGCCAACAAGTAGCTTGCAGAGTGCTGTCCGATGTCAATGCAATGTGCCGGTCCAGCTTTGTAGAGCACAACAAGCATGAAAGTCCAACGAGGTTTCCGCTATGAGCGCCTTGGCAAGCTTGTGCGCACAGTTCTGATCTCATGGTTGAAAAGCCGCAGAGGACTGCCATCGTTGCAGGCCCTCTGGAGACAACCCGCCAAAACCTACCGTCCGAGAGCCACCCTCCAAAGTCTCGTGCTCAGAGCACTTCAGGCATCAGGGACTTCAGGGGCTGGTAGGCATTTGGCGTGTGGCATGTACTCACCGACTGGCTAGAGCCAGCAATGCTTACAAGGCACAGCTCATGGCTGCGAGCGAGGGCAAGCTCCAGAAGATGCACAGATGCTTCGGCTCGAAAGATGTGCGTTGTTCATCTGCTGTGTTAAAAACGAGTGCCTGGCACCAGGCAGCAAGAGCTCACGCTTCGATGTATGTAGCATAAGCGTGGCAGTGACAGTGTGGCATTGCAAGGAAACGAACGAGAACAGCGAGTGCAGGACGATGGCTATTCAGTTGAACATATTAAAGCCACAGCAAGTAGTTATGTGGCTGGAAGTTGGCCAGCCATCTGCGTCACTGCCTCACTGCCTGCAACTGCATGAAGCAGCATCGTGATTCAAACCCAGAACGGTTCTTGGTGACATGCCCTGCTTTGGTTATTTGGCAGGAGATCGGGGAGCTCTTCAAAGCATATGTGGCAGGAATTCATATTGGCTGAGTCACACTTTTCTTGCTAAGACACAGAAGCTGTAAAGAAAGACTTCGAGATAGACTGAGCTAGCCCATCTGCGTGTCAGTTAAAGCGCGCTACACACGTTGCGCGGATCTCACTAAGCTATTGAGCTTATAACACTCAGATGTGAAGATTCTTAAGCAAAGGGCGCGTCCTGAGTCTGAAAAAGGTGTGCTGCAACTGCTGAAGAACACATGTTCCATATGCTGGAGGCGAGGTGCGGTTGAGGGACTTGCTTGCTCAGGCATGTCCAGCAGCTTGCAGCAGGTCCACTGCCAGATTTAAGTTCTGCATAGATGTCGCCTCGCTGGGAGTAGACGCAGTATCTCAGCGCCAGAAGAGCATGACGTCCTTTCAGACAGAGGTCGTCCGCAGAGTGGCAACGGTATGGAGATGCCAGGCGGGCCTTGGAAGGTCATGGCATCCGGTAGACATGGGGTCGATTCGGTGCAACGGCGCGCGCTACACGACGCGGCATGCCTGCTGTGTGGTTGACTCCCTTGTGGCGTGAGGCTTCGGGTCCTCCACGGAACGGTGCTCAGACTTCCGCCTGTCTTTCGGCTTTCGTACTGCTCATGCCGGGCCTAGCTCTGGCTGTCGATGCTCGCACCCTGAGGCCAGGAAAATCGTTTCCAGCTTGGAGCTGAGCTTCATTCGCTACCACCCCCCCTCCCCCCACCGGCCCCCAACACTCCCGCCTCAAAAGTCTGTAAAGCACACCCCGGGTGGACAAGGCGTATTTCGGGTTGACAAAAGGCCGAACTTCCAAGATCATGACGGCCTGAAGGGTCAGGTGGCATCCTGCTAACGTAGCCTTTACGTTTCAACTCGGGATGGCGAGGCAGGGAATTTCAAAATTTCAAATCGTCAGGATTGAAGTAGTTCGGGCGCCTGCCGCAACTCCGGGGTGCGAACTGGTGGGATTACTTTGAGGATGCCGACATGGTCCTCTAAGTGCTGTCACGCTTAAGTTTGACAACAGAGCCCAAAGCAGGTCCCCGGAGTCTCTCTCCTGGCGCATCCGCAACCGCCAAAGCCAACCGGCCGGCCACTCGGAGTTTGACGATTTTCATGGAGCATGTTAGTCCCCCCCCGGCACATGTGTGCATTTTGACCACAGCTAGTTACTAGACTCGGCAGGACTGGCGGAACGCCCTCCGAAGTGGGGCAGAAGACTTACCCGGCTCACCTGTTCCATCTTGCTGGAAGTGGGTAACTTCTATGCCTTTTTATGCGCCATGTTTCGGAGGCCTGGCACGTACGACTCCCGCAAGCCCTCGCTCGCGCGAGCTGCTGGCGCAAAGCCGGAGTTCTTGGGGGGTCCTGCCTTTGCTTGGCTCATCATTACTGCTCATTGCCTCGGCCGACTGTTCCTGCATCGAACTGTGGTCACTGAGTGATGTGAACGGTTGTCTTCCAAGATGTTCAATGTCACTTCAAGTCTCAGAAGCTGCAGTAGATGTCCGAGAGGTTCGCAGCATCCCAGCGATTCTCTCCTCCAGAGAGGAGCAAAGCAGACCCCACCGGAACTTTTTGCAACAAGTTCCACGAGAGAGTTGTTTGGAAGGACCACGTCTCCTGGACCCGGAGAGTGCCCTTCTTTGCCCTCGCACTGGCCCCAACAAAGTGGCAGAATGATAAGTTTCTGGAGGTACGACCCGCCTCCCAAGAGCCGGCTCCCAAGAAAGCAGAAAAGGTGAAATGTGGACACTTCCCTCTCCTTACATTCCTCTCCTCGTTCTCCTATGTTCTCCTATGTTCTCCTTTTCTGAATCCGGAAGGCCGCCCTAAGGGGCATCGCTTTCCGAACACAACCCCCAGGCCCGGGCACCTGATGAGAAAGCATGCTGGAAATGGGTGGGAAGATCGATGCGCTCCTTTTGCATCAGCAGATTGTGTGCATGATGTAGCATGCTTAGATGCGTGCCACAGCAGCTCGAGCCGTGTGTTTGGGGAGGCCAAGCATAATGGCACAGGCTGCGTCAAAGACAGGTGCCTTGAATATGACAGTAGCTGCCATGCATGCCTTCAACTGATGCTGCGCAAACTTCGTTTTCTGCCATCCAGAGGGAGATGCGTGTAGGTTTACAAGTTGGCCGTAAAGATTCTTCAGAGTCACTCCTTGACAGGGACACCTGGCCCTGCGGCCTATGACACGGCCACAGCCACTCGGAGCCACATCAAGCGTACGCCGGTGCGCCCCCGACCCCCCTCCCCCTTCACCCTTATGTTGATCCTTGCGCTGAGCCTTGCGTTTTCATGTTGGTCCATGATGGTCCCTGCATTGTTTGTAGCGTCTTCTGTTTGTCACCTCAGCATGCTTCTGACTTCGAGGGGTGCTTGGAGGGGACGCTTGCAGTCGCAGGGGTACTCCATGCGTGGCCGTCCCCAAGAGAGCCGGGAAACGTCCCCTGGGCCCAGGGCTTATCTGCAAGCTGGGTTTGCATGGTGAATACTTCTTCGAAGCTGTCAGAATATTCCTTTGGAGGCCGGCGGACTACGGTGGCGCTTACACGCTGTGAGATTGCCCAGCTTTCATAAGCGCCATCTTGCACACCTTCTCGCTGTGGATCCTCAGGTTCCGATGACGTGCAGCAGTGCAGCAGACCGTACATTAGGAGGTCCGGCACCAAATCTACCTTTGCACTACGCCACGCCTCGTTGTCTTTGCAAATGCTCAATTTTTGCAAGCTTGTTCAATAATGCAGCTTCTAAACACAGTGCCAGTAGCTGTTTGTGTGCATTGGCCTTAATGCTGCAGCTGATCACGAGGCCCAGCATGCAAGTTTTGGCTCGATACCAGACGCGTCTACTTCAGTACCGTGAAGGCCATGTGGCAGCATGTACCGCCTTCGAAGGCATAAGCATCACAGAGCCGTGATAGGCCTGCACGCTGCAGCTTGCCCTAGACTCGCCCGAAGCATGACGCAAGCTTGCTCCCGACTTCTGGGAGACATGCTGGGAGACAGATGGCCACGCAGGCCTGGCAAAAGTCCTTCCCCAAACTCGAGTTAAACAGAACAACAGGCATAAGTACTAAAGGTTAATAGCTAGTAAGTGTCAGGCCAATCGAGGGCGGCGTAGACATACTGTAGACTGGACGCGCAGCTGCGTCAACTGTGGAGCTATCTATCTGCGTGCCTCCTGGCCCAAGTCAAGCCAACCGCTGTCCTGGCGACTGCTAGGTGTGATGGGAGCAACTCCAGCTTACTTGTATGAAATTCGGCTTCTAGCTCAGAGTCGAAATCTCGCGAAACGCATGTTTAGGCACTGATCTGTTGACACCAGCCCTAGTCCAGTCGCTGACAGCCTGCTAGACCCTGGTGTATCTAGAACCAATCTGCGGAAGTCACTGATCTGTTGACACCAGCCCTAGTCCAGTCGCTGACAGCCTGCTAGACCCTGGTGTATCTAGAACCAATCTGCGGAAGAGCAGGCCAACAACTTGCAGCGTTCTAGCCATGGGGGCTGCCGAGTCCGAGCCGACCGCGCCTGCAGTCACAGGCCCCTGCGAGCGAAAGGTTCGGGCTGTGGATGGCACCCTCCTTCCCAGCAAACTCTTCACCGCGGAGGAGACGTTGACCTTGCATGTCTGAGCTGTGCTAAGTGTTAGTAGCCATTGACAAGTCCATACGCATCCACGTGTCAAGGGCAGTGCTGGGTCCCATCGCCGACCTGTGGTGCTCACTTTCCTCCATGGATTGGGCGAAAGGACCGTTTAACCCAACGAAAGCCTTCTTTCTTTATTAGTCATTTCTTGTCTTTTCTTTTGTTTAGTTGTTTTCCCTTTCCTTTTCCTTTTCCCTTTCCTTTTCCTTTCCGTACCTTACCTTTTCTTTCGTTCTCTGTCTTCTTTCTGTTTCTCTCTCTCTCTCTCTTCTCTTCTGTTTTCCTCTTTTCCATTAATTTTCTTGTATTTTCTTTCCGTTTCTTTCCTTTTATTTCCTTTACTTTCTTTCTGTCTCTCTCTCTCTCTCCCTCTTTCTCTCGCTAACTCGCTCCCTCTATCTCGCTGTCTCGACTCTCTCTCTCTCTCTATATGTATAATGTGGTTGTGTTTGCATCGTATCGTTCGGAGTGAGTTCTTTGTGAGGTAATTAGCTGTGCATCTCAGAGACGAGTGTGCGGCCAGGATGAGTGACTATGATGAGACATCAACTGATACCAACATGCAGAAGGCCTTGTCCTCCATGGTGGTTGAGCAGTTGAGCAGCCTTGTAACATGCTAGGAAGAGAACAGCGGTCTTGTGGCTGAAGGTGGTCCAGGCAATGCCGGAGAGTGGCATGAGACCCAGGATCGTCGTATTCGATGCTCGAGGTCACGGCACCAGCACTGGTTGGGAGAAAGGCGGGCCGGAGCAGTTTCATTGGCGCTGCTTGGGGGCAGATATGCTGCAGGTGGCTGCTTCACATACTGACCAGCCTTGGGATCCAAGATTTATATTTGGTGGATGCAGCATGGGTGCTGCAGCAGCAGTTTGGGCGGCCCTCCTTTCCCCACGAAAGGTCTGTGGACTCGTTCTTTACCTCGTCCCAACAATGTGGGCCGGCAGACAGGCCAGACGAGGTGTGCTGGAAGCAAAGGCGGCATCTGTTCGTGAAACCGATCCAATCAAGTACGAAGTCCTGCTTGGTGCAGCCCGAGCCGATTTTCCACCGAGGGAAGACATGGAAAGACTCGCTGCAACAGGGATCCCTGCACCGCACCACGGAGTTTAGCATGTTTTGGAGTTTACGTGGGCCCCGCTTAATGCAAGCGTCAACTCTGGTGAAGTAGTGGGAGCTGCGTGCGCATTGTTCAAGCTAACTGTTTAGCGTGGATGTTGGCATGCCTGGTGGCGAGGGACCAAGCCCAAAAAGGAGTGTCAGCTGGCAAGCAAGTGCTGGACCGCTGGAGCGAAGCTGCGCAACTTTCAATTGTTTTTTTGGCTGGGATTTGGGCCAAGACGTTTGTTTCCTGAATGATTTTCATTATGTTTGGTTGTCTACAGCCTCATATCCCAAATGGAGTTGGGTGTACTCATAAAGTCCGGGCTCGGGGGTGTTTATCTATCCAGCAAGGTTCGAAAAGAGGCCCCGAAGCACAGAAGGAAGCCAGCAGACCCCCAAACTGTGCAACTACCCCAGTCCGCGAAGCTTTTGTTCAGAGCCTCGCCAGAACAAATCGGGGAGGGGGGGGGTTGTATTAAAGCTTTATGGCGAGCAGGCGCTCGCAAGTCGGCATGGATTCGAGCAGTTTGATAAATCGTCCCAAGTTACCTCCGCAACGTGAGTTCTGGAAGCTCACACTTCTCAGGTACTAGTGGTGAATGCGCGTGATGATCAGATTCACCCCATGAGCTCTGCCGAAACCATAAAGGAGATTTTTGGCCAAAGTGCTACCCTCGTGGTCGTTGACAAGGCAGGTTTCCAGTCTGAGAAGCATGGTTCAGCATGGGGCGATACGCAGTTGCACATGTCTGAGCTGTGGCCTGTGCAGGTGGAGGATGCCCCCAAGAGGTTCATGGACGAGCTTGCGAAATGGCTTGCAGCTTTGCCAGCGGCTTGAGTGAGGCAATCCAGAAGACATCACTGTGCCGGTGGTGTTAATGTCGATCTTTTGTGCTTCCGCTCTATAACTCTAGCTCATGTACAGGAGCGGCAATAGGCTGCAGCTGTTTCCAACAGCTGTTCTCAAGCCGTACGTATGTGCTGATAAGAGGTCTGGGACTCGACGCCAACGTTCGGAAAAGTGTTGCCTGCTGTGATGGCGCATCGATGCCTGGCGATGTTGCCGCAATTCTGTGCCCAGTTCCTGCAAGGCGATGATTTGGTGCTTGCCAAGCATTGCCGCACCCAAGAACACACACCGCCGACTCTGGTGGATGGGAACACTGGAATGATCTGAGCACACCCTGGTCGTTGATGAGTGGCTGAGGGACATGGGACATGTGGATCTGGAGTTTTGCTGCTGTGAGTGTAAAAGGGTATGCCCAACAGCCCAAGAGGCTGGTCAAAATTCCTGAGTTGTGGAATTTCAAGAGCTGATTTCGGTTGCAGGCGCAGTTGCGTTGTCTACAGGATCTGCTTTGCATGGCAGCACAGAGATGTGGCCTTATAAGGCCCTGGGATGCTGACTGGCACGCACAGTCACAGCCGATAGGATCTCGAGCCCGCGTTGCGGAAGCCTGTTGGCGGGTGATAAAAGAAGGCGATGCGTACGTGCTGACCCCGGGCCTGTGCTGAATGCATACAATTTTGGACTCAGGTACAGTACTGATCGCTGGTTCCCGATCATCCTTGTCGACATTGTACTTGTGAACGTATGGGAGTATCGGCATTACATGGCATGATTCATGATATCATATCAAAGGGGGAACTAACAATCATGCTTGAGTGGGTGTGCTTGCTGCACGGCATCCTCCTCCACCAGAGAGGCACAAGGTCCGGAGCAGCATTAAAGAGGCAGCCATTCAGAAATGTGTGCGAACCGCAGTGGTTCAGAAATGCACCTTGGGAGGTGAGAGTTCTGTGCTGCAGAAATGAGATTCCCGTATGTGCCTGTGCATTCACACCTGATGCATTATGCACACAGATCTGCAGAAACAACATGCAAGCAACCAACAATAACCGACAAGCACACACACACAAGCAGAAAACACAAGCCAACAAACCAAGCGCGAACGAACAAGCAATGGTACCTGCCAACACGTTGCCCGGCTGTTTCGCAAGTGCCCGATTCAATTGCTACTGCCAAGTAAACAGAAAAGAACACGTCGCGAACACCAGAGAATCCAGAGACTAAGATCAAGGCGATCGAACAAAAGGGGCAGGGTCCGGCCCCCGTCACGCGCACACGAACGGCGTGACCAAAACAAGTGAAGCGCTGCAGGCCTCCAGAGGGGGAGAAGAAAAAATGAAGTTGCGCGGAGCAGTCAAGGAGCAACCGGCCGCAGGAGCACGAGTAGGTACCTTGTGTGGGACGGGAAGGAGTGGGGGTGTCTACGATGGCCGAGGACCCCCCCACCCTCCTGCATGCACGTACAGCGATCTTGGCATGCACAAACAAGCACTCATTCACATCTGTGTGGGTGCGCGCGTCCGCACTCCTAAGACAAGACATGACATATGTCAGACGGCAAACCCAGTAACCAAAATCAGTAATGGGCTTGGAATCTCTTTCTCCAAACACCCAAATGGGCGTTCGGCATTTGCAGGGCACGCCTGCTTACGCCTGCTCTAACCTGCTTTCCTCCACAGCCAGCAGTTCTAGGACTACATGGATAGGATAGGCATGGATAGGGCGGGTGACGGCAGGATTGCTTAGGCGCAACGGCTGCATGGAAGACCTCACTACTGCTATGCGCAGGGGATAAAAGAGTGTCACAAAGTCTGCAACTTGGCTACAAAGATTTAGGGTGCTCGTCGGATGCCGAGTGGTAGACTGGTAGACTCGCATAAGCTCCCTTTATCCCTTGTCTGAAACCTCATGGAGAGACGCACATGTTTCGTGTTTCTGCCCGCTTCTGCTCACAGCCTAGTATGAGGCATGTTGATGGTTCCCTAGCAGTTCTCTCCCCATCCTCAAGTCCGGTGACGGTTTTTCAGATAAATAAGGGCCTGGCCAGCTGCAGAGGTATACAACCAGTTGTTAAATCCGTGTTTTTCAACCCGAAAATTACATTTAACCTTACCACTTTCCGGATATGAGGCTTGAAGCTTGTTACGTTGCGTGGTTGAGATGGTCATAATACCCGATAGCCACTTGCCCCCAACAGCCACACCTCAACACAGAAGGCAAATTTCCCCGCGGCTTGGCCAGCCAGCAATGCGCTTACATAGTCGAAGCCGCCTCTCGCATCATGGGCGATGAGGCCGATAGAGGAGGTTTTGCTGCTGTTTTTGTTGGGTTTCTCTATTTCATCAGGGCGAGCCTGAGGGTGGAGCCGTTCCAGCAACTGCACGTAGCCGCATGACAACCTTGCAGGCCACGTTGTGCTTCACGGGCGTGTCCGGCCCTGGATAATTCATTGTTTATATGTATTATATATATATGTATACATATATAGATTTATATTTATATTTATATGTCCACTCACTGCAGCAGTAGTCTCAGTAGTTCAACCGGCCGAATTCGAGATGAGCGCCGCAGGTGTGCTAGGTCGACGGTTGAGATTGTCAAAAAGGGTGGCACACCACGACCATTCGCACCACTGCTTACAGGTGCCCTGCAGACTTTCAGATGAAGGACGGGCTCTGAGCTTTCTCCCACACGCAACATTCAGTTAGGTTATGTTGGATTGGTTTGCTGGGGTACATGCACGTATCCGCAAGATTCTGCAAGGTAGTGCCACCTCGGACAGGTCCTTGTGCAGGCACGGCATGCGATGACAGATGGGCCTCGGATTTCGCAGAAGTGCTTGCAGGCAAGAGGCGTCCTCGGCCTGGAGGCAGAATTGGGAAAGCTGCCGAGATGCTGGCGTAAAGCCATCGCGGCTCTGCACGTGTGCTTTTGCAATCAACATAGCGCGGAGGCTTCTTCTCTCGCTCTAAAGCCGCACCAAGAGAGGACGAGGCCAGCCGCGGACATGTGAGCAATGTATTCTTGCATTCCTTGCCCGAGCCGCCCGAGCCGTTTGTCTTTCCATTTTTTCCCGAACACGATCATCCGATCCCTTTGTGGGGAATCTGCGACGTACCCCGCATTCCTGTCTGTACACACAGCCGTTTGGACTCTGAGCGCTAGCTTCAGGCAACGTTTTACCGACAACCATGTGAACCATGTGGCTTGTCAGCCGATGTCACAAGCAAATCGCAAAAGAAAGTGGCGGATCAGTAGGTTGCAATAGCATCGACACAGGCACGACTAGAAACACTCACCAAGAAGGCCATTCTCCACACGCCTGTGTGCATGGCGAGGTCCGAGCATTGCAATGACTGAGCTGAATAAAGAGGAAATCCTGGGACTTTGGCGCTTAAGATCGTTGCTTTTCGGCTGCCACCCAATGCAAACACAATACTCCCTATGCCGTCGCGGCAGTCGAGGCCTGAATCCAGACAGTCACCCTCCCCACCTTAGCTGCCTCCACCCCAACCTCTCCCCACCCCACACCTGCCATCGATTTGCACCGCGACAAGGGCCAACATGACAGGCCCAAAGCATGCTTCCCATTGCTTCCGCGAGCACAAGAATGTCAAATCTGGATCAGCAATGCACCTTAAGCATCTTTGCAAGAAGCTGCTCGCTGAGGCTTCACGAGCTGAAGGCCAACCTTTTCGCTGCCCTTGCCCGCGGCGAGAAGTGTGTGCTGAAGCTTGTTGCTGGCTCGCTGGAGACACCTCCCATTGACGGCGCTTGCTCGGCGATTGTCAGGGCATGCCATGAACACCTCCAGATATGCAAATTGGAAATTGTCTCGCGATTGCAGTAGAGCAGCCTCGGGCGTTTTGCATACAAGAACCCGTCATGCTACACGGCTAGAAGATGTGACAGATGTTGGAAGCGTTTGGTACGTGAATGACGTTTGTAGGTGTCCGTCCCCCTCAGGATGGCCTCAAAGACCTGCCGATCTACATGTCACCAGTCATCCCCATGACGGCAGAGGAGTTTGACGGCTCAGAGCTGGACAGCTTCTTCCGCAAGATTGGGATAGGCGGGGGCTAATCCAACGTGCTGTCTTTCGTTCACTCGCTGCCAGGACTTGTGCAGCATAAGTAGACTTGCAACACAGACAGAGCATGCGTTGCAGTGGCAGCGGGCGCATTGAGCCCGGAGGCTACGACGTGCTCTTGTTTCTCGACTCCATTGAGGAAGTCATGCACCTGTCGGAACAAAGCCAGTCGGATCCTGACTTTGCTGCACGGATCGAAGTCATTCAGGTGCGAGGCAAAAATTCGCAAATCTTCCGCATAGCTGGTAGCTGCATGGATTGCGGAGCTGGGTGACCTTGCCGGCTTACCGGCTTACCACACTGCTATTCATCTGCTGCTTAAACATGATTGTTCTGGAGGCTTCTTGGAGCCTTCTTGCACATTAGAACCTCCACAATCCCAAAGACGGGTGGGTCTGCCTACGCCTCTCTCTTTGCGACCTGAAGGTGGCTTGCCCACCACCGACAACAGCAGCTGCTACGCCGACGGCCGCTGGTCTCGTTTCAGAGCTGTCGGAAGTATCATAAGTACGACGCGCCGTGCTTTTGTGGCATGCAGCAATTCTGGCTTCCTTGTGGTTCGGAAGCAAGTAGTAGCAAGCCCGCCACCGACAATCAGCGAAGTGGAATGTTGTTGGAGAGACGTTGTCGCACTTGCGTACGGCGCCAGAAGCTGCAAGAAAACCCCAAAAAGCAGCCCAGCATGGGACTAGAGTAGGGCCAGTAGGGGCATTCTCGGAACCGGAACATGGGACACGGGAGCAAATCGGCAGCACAGGTGTGAACATCCCCAAGCGTTGGGGACAAGCTCAGCCACCGGCGGGGGCGGGTGTGAGTCGCGAAAACATCTGGAGCAATGAGTCCTAACTCTGCCAGCTTTGCGCTGCATTCGTTGACTGAGGCCGGCTCCTGTGGGCTTCGAGTGAGCTGGGCTGCCTTCGAGCTGCTGGAAATGCTGGGTTTGCTTGCGTCGAGGCGTTTGGGGGCATGTCTGGGCCGCGGGAGTCGGGAATCCTGCATGGCTGGAGCGCTTTGCCGCCAATTGTGAACAGGTATGGTCCCTCACTTTTCCTCGGCGACATTGATGGCACAGGTGGTGAAGAATTAGCCATGAAGCAGGCGCGCATACGCGTGGCCAAGAGTAGCTGAGGTCAGCGTGTCGTTGCTGAAGCTAAGCGGACATCTTCATACCATTCTTCAATCTCATGCGCAGATGTTCCAAACATTCTAAACGCTAAGCCCCAAGCCAAAAAAACCTAAACCCAAAAACCCTACACCAAACTTGGGCTGTTGATCGTTCAGCCATCACACGGATCCAAGACACGTTGGTAAGATCATGAGAGTTAGGTTTTCAAGAAGTGTGAACTAGCCTCTCTAGGAGTTAATCTTTTGAGCCATCAAGGAAACAGCCAGGGTGGGAGAGTCTTTGTACCCTTGCAGGCGCTGAACTTGGCTGCGAAGGCCATGCTGAATCTGACGCAGGAGTTGCATCCTAAGTTTGAAGACAAGCTTTGGAATCAGACGGACACTCGGCTTGATCGTGGTTCAGAGGCCCATGGCCATCGGCTCTAGTCAATGCAACGGTGGGCATCTCCGTATGTACAATATGACAGGAACTGCTATTCGGAACTGCTTGGCACTTGCAAATAAACCGGTCCACGAGTCCCAGAGAGCAGAGAGAGTAAGTTCAATTTTCGTACATCGCTTCCACGGTGAACTTCCGGTGAAGACCAGTGAACCAAGGACAAAGACCTAGCGCTTGCCATCGAGGCAGTCCTGAAGGGAAGCCATGACAGGCGGCATTCTATGCCCGCTTTATAAAAAAGAAGCACCCGGGTTGTGCAGAGAAGTTGCCATATACCTGCGGAGCATTCTGTGGTACAACTCCTGCTGGTAACCAGCAAGAAATTTATGTAATTGCAGGCGCGTGACAGTTGTCAATGTCTGTCCTGCGCTTGCCACACCTGGCATCAAGACGAGTCAGGACTGAGCAATGCACTTCCCGAAGTTTGAAAGTGCAGTTGTGCAAAACAGGTGTGCACCGGGTCCTTCGGCCCGAAAGGATCGGGTTTAAGAACCACGTATAAATGGTCTTCTTGCAGATGCTGAAGTAGGGGTTCGGAAGGCAGCTTCATTCTAGGTGTTGTTTTGGGGCGCGTCGGTGTTTAGGGTTTCGGGCTTTGGCTGCTTTGTGGCTATCTTATGTATGCTTCTACAGTTTTCCATTCGCGGCACGGAGCGGTAGCGCAAGTACGATGTAGACCCCAAACATTGCCCCAGTCTATCTCTGGGGGTCCAGGAAGTTCTATTTCCTATCCCGGAAAACGGGGGAAGATTGTCTAGGACTCCGCCTCTAGGGATTCCCAAGAAAGAGCCCACGGGCCTTGCCCGGCACCGCGAATTCGGAGTAAAAGGGAGACCCCCCCGTCATGAAAACCTCGCGCAGGGCAGTGTTTCCTTCAACCCCCCCCCCCCCCCTCTTTATTCCTATTTGGGGCCTTGCGGGAGTCTCCCAGACCCTCTAGGATTCCGCCTCTGGAGATCTAGGGATTCCCAAAAAGGAGCCCATGGGCCTTGCCCGGCACCGCGAACTAGGAATAAAAAGGCCCCCCCCCCTCCAACATGAAAACCTCGCCCGCGAGTCCTGGCTGAGTTCTCCCGCCCTCTAGGCGCCGCTTCTAAGATGCCCGGAAGGAGCCCACGTGCTCACGTTCAGGAAGGAGCGAAAACACAGAGCCACAACATCACCGCAGCAGGAACGCATAGTTGCAAGTAGGTGCATTTGCTTTTTTTGTGTTTGAAGCGGGGGGGGGCTCCGCCCCAAACCCTCTTAGGAGTACATTCTAATTCCGACCCCACCCAGGGGGAATCCCCAAACCGAGCGCACTTCGCAAGAATCACGCGCGAGAGGTCGTAATAGGGCATGATTTCGGATCTTCTCATGCAACCGTTTTGTTAGGCTCAGGCGAGGGCGTACTCTCGAATCCCTGAAAATGCAAAACCCCCTTAGAACTGAGGAGCGAGGCGAACCAGCTTGCGAGACGCGAAACGTCATGTAAATGAACCAAGAAGAATCCGTTAGGAACCGTAGACCAGGCAGGCTCCGTGCACCTCGGAGCGTGAGACTACGAAACCGTATGCATCCACCCCATACTTGAAGACCTATAATCTTAAGCAAACTTATCTCCAAAACAAAGAAGCACAAGCAGCGAATGATTGATTTAAGCTGGGGATTGCCAGCCTTCAGGCAGCTGAGACGGCAGAGGAGATGCTCTTGCGAGGCTGATCATGGCTGGAAATGGGAGAGACACAGAATGCTTGACTTGGCTGAAGGCATGGTCAGCAGCTTGAAGGAGCAGAACGATCTCCAGCGTGCCATTCTCAATGGAGATACGTGGTGTAGCTATGTGCAGCTATGTGTAGCTATGTGTAGCTGCAAGGCTGAGCCATTGACAAAGTCCGCGTCAGGCAGCGAGATCGTCGCCCTGAGATCCAGACCAGCCCAGGAGTCCAAGGAACCCAAGGAGCTAGTGGACGCAGAGGCAAGAAGCCACCTCAGGGCGCATCTCTAAGAGAGGAAAGAAGGACCTCACCTCACACCGGGTGACATGCGCAGGTGCAGACCGTCAACGACACAGGAGAGTTGCAGCTGCACTCGTACAATTGTCTCGTGACCAGACTTTGCTCAGATGCAGGATGCGACGCAGCTGGCTCAGCGGCTGATGCCACCTGTGAGGTGGCACTGGCACTGGGCGTCAGCAAAGTTGAAGTATTGATTGGTGCTTCCTGAACAGGCGCAGCAAATGCAGCTAGATATGCTGCACCAGGAGGCCCTGGCTGTCCAAAGCAGAGCCCCCTCTGCATGCTGCACCATTTGGTCAGGTTGGCAACAAAAGTCGGGAGCTGCGCCGCTCACAAGACACAGCACCATACTTAGAGCCGACATACTCCTGCCGTTTGCAAAACAATTTCGAATGTTGAGGTCAAGTTGTTGCGTTCGGAGCTCGAGCAGCAGCGGCAGGTGCGAGACTAATGCGAGACTGGATCCCAAGAATAGTTTTCGGTCGGCTGCCTCTCGAGCACTCTCGGGACCTTCATGTACCAAACAAGAGACAGTCTACATGAGGATGCTTTAGGTGGTCCGTGGCACGTTGTGCGAGATAGCCGGAGGTCTCCGAGCAGTTCCGTTTGCAAACGGAGATGCTGGAGGTGTCCATGGCCACGGTTCAACGTAGCGCGTGACGGGTTAGGTTCCTTGTGGTCCGATAGAAGCAGCCGCTGCTATGCTCGAAAGATCTCGAAAGCCAATATTGCTAGCAACTCTTCGTGCAATTCTGAGTCACCTAAGTCACCTAAGTATTCAAGGAGCAGCTGCGGCGGACAAATGAACGGCTCAAGAAGTTGGAGAAGACGTCTGCAGAGGCGCCTCCCATTAGAGGGCCACGCGCTGTCAAAGGACATATGCGCATCTTGATCTGGGCTAGTAGATGCAGTGATCTTCTGTGCAGGTGAGGCACATGACCTCGCTTGGACCTAAGAGCCTAAGACCTCATGGTGAGCTCCTGGGAGCTCTGCAATCTCTTTGAACCGGAACACATTGCTTTTGGGGCATTAAGATTCCCAGGACGGGCGAGATGCCGGAAATGCCTTCGTCCTCGTTGCCGAAGTCATGGAAGGACCTGTCTCCCGTGTCTCACGAAAGCGCACATTGCACTCAGTCTCCGGGCTTCCACCCGCAAATTGCTTTTGCATGTGTTTCCCTGTGTACACAGGGCTCGTCTGCATGCAGATGCTTCTCCGATGACGAAGCTGAGGCAGATGCTTCCTACGACATGGTGGCATGATTCTTTGATCTCTTTCGCTGCATGGCACCTGTCGTGCAGCTGCTAGGGCAGTTCAGCAGATGAGCAAGCCCAATGTGCCGCAACGGGCTCACGGTGTGAGCCTCAAGCTTTACTTTCAAGGCTACAGTGAGTCGCATGCTGCGTTCAGGTGATGTTGCTGGTTTGTGGAAATGAGTGCGGAAACATCCGCATTCTGGGCTAAGCCGCTAAGCCAGCCCACAGAGCCATCACACAGCTTTGATTCCACAAAGCTTGCCAGTGTCACTCGCACTAGATCTGGAGAGCCCTGGCGAATCTGCAAGGGGCTCACGAATTTGGAACCACTGGGTGGAGTCGGTAGATTGCTAGAGGCCTCATGCAGGTGGTAGGCCGGAATCTGCATGATGAGGAAGGTGCAGAAAGTCGCAGGAGTTACCATATGTCTATATGTGTATAATACCTGAATACCATATTCGGCGAGAACCGAACTTCCCAGCAACTAATTTTAACACGATCGCCGTGCCGGCATGGCGCAGGGCCGGTCTCCTCATGGAGCACGCTCCTTGCACCAGTTTCTAGCCGATGGCTTGTTAACAATGCTGCTGGTGCCGGCTTTTGCCTGGTTTTGTTATTCCAGGTCAATCTCGGACACTACGCCCATTCAAGATCGCCAGGGAAAATCACCAGAGAGAGATTCCAAAGCAGCAGTTGTAGCACATGATGCACATGTCCGGCAAAGGTGCGTCAGGAAGGCTGAATGAGATGGCCAGTCGCGGCGTGTTTGCCTTCGAGAAAGCAGTCATGGCAAACCATGGAAGACTCGTGTTGTATATGAATCTACAGCGGCATCATGTGGTATGCCTGCGTACGTGCTGCTGAAAGATACTTCGTCAAACTTCATCAGTATCAAGTGACAGACCATGCGCTAGAAAGGCATGACGAATACAAGCCATGTCCAGCAAGAGCCGCTTGCGGCTGCTGTCGGTTGTGGCAGGAATCGGGGCAAATTGGGAACGTACTCAACGCTGTAAAGTTATTGATTAGAGAAATTGAATTGGCAAGACGTCACAACGGGCGGCGAGATCCGGGTTCCGCAGGTGTGGTTTATCAGTGGCTGCTCACCTGCGTGGCAGCTTCGCCCGATCCACGATGTCCGGAGACATCCTGCTGTCAGCGTGATGATGGAGCTTGCTGGCGCCATGGCCTTTGGACCAGAGCTTACTGTTGTGCCTTGGGTGGGGCTGCCGACTGCTACCGCTGGGGTGAGGATTCACCAGGCCAGATTGTGTCGTGTGTTAATGCAAGCAGCCAGTGCCTGAGGCCTGGTTTAGATTGATTGGAGCAAACTCCAGTGACACTTCGGTGTTTACGGCATCTCAGTGGTTTCTCCGCTTATGGGGGCAGCATTGGTGCCTGCAGCTGTAAAGAGCCACTGCACACATAGCTTCTTATGCAACATGATTGCAATGTCGTTTCCGCATGCTGGCAACATGATGCAACAGCGTGTTGCGCACCAGCTCGCCTGCCAGGTGGAGATGTGGCGGTGCACAGCGCCCACTCGGGCGTTCAATGCCGGCACATTTGCCAAGCTCATGAAACCTGTGCTTACTGGACCTACATCGTGAACGCACCCCAAGTTCCAGAGAATCTGCGGGGCCGCTGCTTCCTCAAATCAGAGAGTGCTGTGGCCAACCGCGGGGTGGCGCATCCTTTCGTGGTCAGTGGGGAGCGGCTTTGCCAGCACTTCGGCGAGGGTCTGTCATTCGCAGCTGCCCGAGAGCGAATTGGGCTTCAGACTCCCACTTGGCGGACATCTGTTGGAGTCACTGAAGGAAGGGCAGCCATGCTGCCTGGCTCTGGCACTGAACATTGGTTCAGGGAGGCAGCGAAGGCCTTGGAAGAAGTTGGGTTTGCAACTCAGTGTCATCCCTTCTCCCCAATATTAAAGGCCCCCCCCCCTCCGTAGTTTCAAGACCTCCCAGAAACCCCAAACGGTTTTGGCAAAAGGGCCAATCGCAAGGGGGGATTGATATGCAAACAGCCCGTCCTTGTTTGCTGGCTCGGTCATAGAACAGGTTTCAAGCTTTAGGGCTACCAGGTTTCCGCTAATTTCGCATGCTTGGGAGAGAGGGAAAGCGAGGGAGGGAGGGCTACTAGGTTTGACGTGTCGCCCCCTATATTCCATAGAGTTTTTTTGTATTAGCGGGAGAATGACTATTAGAGAGAAAGGGATAATGTTGGCCCCGGCCTGTCCGAGAGTGAGAAGCTCGGGGCTCGATTGGGAGGCTTTCGTGTGTTTGCTTGGCTTCTGCGTGCGTTGAGCATACAAAAACGGCGACGATGATGACGACCAGAAGAAGAACCACGACAACGACAAACACGGTCAATAACAATTGTGTCAAATTAAGTTGCAACAACATTTTAACAAGTAGCAACAAACACATATTGCTGCAAACGCATATTGCTGAGCAAGCAGCCATGGCAGGTAGCAAGTAACAACGACACTATTAAGAACAATGCCCATCACAATGGAAATGACAATGCCAGTAGCAATAGCAAGGGCGAAGCTACAAGCCACAACGAACATCAGATATGATCGAGCGACTCACTGCGTGAAAAATCTAAGAGGATGCCTTTCTTCATGAAGGCACGCATGTGCGTGCACAAGCATGCACATGCACATGGCTTCAGCCAGAGACTGAGGGAGCGTGCTATTAGTGTGCGGCGGTTTCTGTTTAAACGGCGGGGGAGGGCAACGGCAGGTGCCCAAGTTGACCATGGAATGCCTTGATCTTGACACAGGGGTTTGAATTTCTAGACAAACAAAGGTAGAGACATCCTCAAGTACCGTGAAAGGATCGTCTGCTTGAAAGGTGAAGGGCACAGCAGCCAGGCATGGCGAGGCAATCCGAAATTGCCAAGAAAGCAAATCGAGTAGGTACGAGAGCATTCGCGTGTTTATGTCAATATCAATGAAAGCAGGCCAGCAAAAGCGCGAATAAGTACACACTCCTGTCCAGCACTCCCAGCTATCGGTGGGGGGGCCCAAGGTAGTAATCCTGGATGCGATGCCAGATGCACAGACAGCTGGGCTCCTTCAGACAGCAAAACAGGCGCAGTTTTCGTTCTCCGGGTATGAAATATTGATGGAATTCTGTTTTTCAGCCGTTGGCATCCTGCCAGCGCAAGGTTGCCGAGAAGATGTTGGCCTTGGACCCCGAGAGGCTAGGGAACCGCGGGCCGCGGCGGTACAGCTTTGGAGGGGCGTCCCGAACGTTGCACCTGATGCACCCTTGAGGAGAATAAGAGAGTCTCGAATAGTCACTGAACTACTTGTCTGTGATATCACTTTGAGCCGAGGCATATACCTGGTTGGGAACACCTCCTGGATAATGAGCCTGTCAACCGACTTCTTTCTGCCTATTATTCGGATGGATTCCTGGCCTGTGGCGGTGGGGGCGACTTCGTTTTGGGCGGCACCAGCACGCAGCTTGCATTGCATCAAGTGCGCAGCGTTGTGGAATTTCTGCAGCCAGCAGCTCAGAGATGTAGGACAGCGACACAGTTCCGATGACGCTTGACAGGTACCAGTCGCTACACCTGGACGTCGGAGGGCCAGTCCACGGTCTGGAAAAGGCTCCTGCGATCGGCTCTTGGTGGCATGGAGAACCCAAGCCCCTCAAAACATGGCTCACAAATTGAGCTTGCCTCGAAATCACGACATGAAAAACTCAGGCGTGAACTTTGCGCTGGAAGACATCAGCTGTGCTGATGCGCCCATTCGGGCCGTGCCATACTCGCACCTCAATGCCACGGAGCCACCTGACTTGGTGTCCGAGCCACAGGCGCATGGGAATCTTGCGGGTCGTCCACGACACATGTCTGGCACATTACCATGGAAGTGCAGGCAGCCATGACAATCTAGACCCCCACCTCAAGTCGTGAATCGTGAGTCGTAAGGATCACAAGTACTCTCAAATCATGTTAGAAGTCTGGGTGTGCCGATCTGATTTCGCAAGCGATCGCGGTGCAGGATACCATTAATCATCTGGCCGTATTTATGGCATATTCACGTTAGGTGGCGTTTACTTGCATCGGAGAAAGCTTCTGTGCGAAGACTGCACCGGCCTTGACCAGGAGATGAAGGATGCTTTGCTTTGTCCTTTGCCACGCGGAAGCGCCTTGGTCCGAGATCTGCGAGTTTGGCATGGGGGCACTCCCAGCGGATCCACCCAGACAAGATTCTTGGACAAAGATCGTGTCGGTTCGGGATGTTTTGGGTTAGTTGGGGCCTAAAAGCCCTGTCAAGGCCCTGTCGCCTCAGCCTGAACAGAACTCATCCAGCCCGGCCTAAGGACTTCTACCAAATGCTGAGTTTGTCAGTTTGCTCTGGGGCAGCCTCACGCTCCTTAGCGAACATCATGAACAACAAGGTTTGTTTCGTGAGCCAAGTGCAACATGTCCTGGGCCATCAGAAACTTCCTGCTGGTGCATCCAAGGTGTGGCAGCGGTGAAATCCTGGACCCATGCCAGCCGGTACGCCGCTGATGTCAAACCCACATCTGCAGCCTCTGTCGTGTAGCTCGCAGAATATGTGGCTCCTGTAGATATCTGTAGCCTATGCCCGGGGACAGGTCTTGCCACAGGCGGTGCATGAACGTCTTTCGCCCTTTGCACGTGCGATCTCCGAGCGCTTGGTGGATGGCGCGGGAGTCCTGGAGCAGCATGCAGGCAGGAGTTGGCAGAAGAGTTGCCGTCCATTGTGCCTAAGTACTCAATGATACTTCGGAAGGCACTGATGATTGGCTCATCCCAGACTTCCGTGGATACCACCGACACAAGCAGGAAGCGTACTGATATAAAAATTGAGCCCCGTGGGATGATAAGCTGCTGCGGTTGGACTGCTGGGTGTCATCGCATAATCGTAGGATGGGTCAAGATGTGGTGAGGGATGTTGAAGTCATGCTCCAGGTCGTCCAATCACCAGATGAGATCACACGGGTCAGCCTGGAATCGGACCATCTGGCCCAGATTCAGATACAAACCTTTCATAAACCCTCACTGTCAGCTCACTGTGTACTCTACTCACGAGGCTCGGCATTCATCTAATCGCAGCCAACAACAGCCATGTACCCTCGAGGCTAAAGCTACACTGGCATCTGGTAGGCAGGGCAGCCAGCAATGGCACCTACAGAGCAAGCGGCTGAGCCACGGCTTGTGCGCGCGCCAGTCACTTTCTCGTTGACTATTGCGTTTAAGCTGAAGCCATCTTAAGCTCATGGTTGCTGAGCATTCTTGGCGATATTGTGTAGGTACATACACTGGTCGGCAGTGCGCTGTCCGGCGCTCGACCTCCGAGTGTCAGCGACAGCGAAGAACATGTCTCGCTGGTCCTGAAATGGATGCCCCCGTCCGAAGAAGGTATACATGAAGCTGCTTCACGCGGTCGTCACGCGTGACGCCTGCTCAGGAGCGGTTTGATCTCCAGACTGCCGTGCCACCCGCTGGACACCATCAAGGTTTGGCACCGAGGGGTTGGGGGGGGGGTGAGACAACTCAATCACTCCCTGTGTGATCGGATGTTCACGATCCATGTAGCTGGAAATACTTATTGCCTCCGGATTACAGCTTCCATGCCATGCCAATGTTGTTAGCTGGTGCAGTCCAGACTTCAAAGCGCGACTGGCAGCGAGTACCGAAGTACTCTGCACTGTCCTGCCCCCAGCTTATTGCCGCATGCAGGGCATGTCATGTCCATGGTGCAAAGCCCCAGAGCACGGAGGCTTTAGAAGAACTTTCGCCGAAGAAGGCCTGGACGACTTCGTCATTCAGCGTGGTCCAGCTATGCCTTGTGGTTCGACTTGGAGCTGAAGGTATTCGAGGTCTCTACCGAGGGCAATGTGCCCAGATGTGCCCAGTGACTTGAGAAGTCGCTGACCCTTTCCAGTGGGAGTGGAACTTGAAGCCATCTTCAAAAAGGTTTGGCATCGTGGCCGTCCTCGGCACTCCTGGCGTTTGCGCGCGGCCTTCAGCAGGTACCCTGCGTGCAGGGGATTGAGCCACTCCCCGTTGGCTTTTCCCAGGTCTACATTTCGACGTACGAGGTTCTGAAGTCCTACATGGCCCCAGATGCCACACTGATGCACCTAGCGACTGTCATCTCGAGACATCGAATTTCTGCCGCGACTTGAGGGTTCGGAGTTGGCCTTCGCGCGCCACCTCGTGGCTGGGATTGGAGCGGAGGCACCCCAGATCACCCCGGCCTGTGCACAACAGAGCAGATTGCACAGGCTGCGCTGGCTTGATAAGATTTGATAGGCAGATTAAGCAGATTAAGCAGCTTATTTGAGCCGTGCATGCTGTGCCACAGCTACCCTTTCAGCTCGTCCACAGCGAGAGGTGGCCACAAATAGCTAACTTACTTGACAATATCATGAGTATCCATCAGAAGCCCATGGCGCGACTGAGTTGAACAGGGAATGAGAACTCCAGCGCGCCGCAATGTGCAAGATGTAGCGCAGCATGTTATGCCCCCGGTCGCATTTTCAGAACACGAAGCAACCCTGCTTTCAAGTCCCAGATGTGGCCACTCGCTATCGAAAAAAACACTAGACAAAAATCGCTACAATTCTTGGTACTTGTCTCGGTGTCCGTTGCTTCCATGGGCGCGTGGGACAGTCCCTTCGGACTGCAGGATCCGCCCTGGTGCAGGCATGGTGCACGTGTAACTTTGCAGATGTGTTATGGACTGTTATGGACACTGCAAGTCACTGCAAATCACCGCAAAACTGGATGTCTGAGCTGTTGCTGGGAGATCATAGGCGCTCGGCCCCTTTTTCATGCCATCGGCATCCAGCTCCGGCGGAGAGGCAAGTACTCGTGTCGTTATTTGGGTGGTGGGCTTCTACCAATCATACGTCATAAGCAAAATGCAACTTGTCGGCAGACGCATCAGCCCACAACTTCTTTTGGAGAGGCAGAGGCCAAAGCAAGCGTGTCGAACGGCACGGTGGACGACTCCAAAGATGAGGGCTTCCAAAGTCTCTGTCGCGTATGCCGGTCGCAGAACGTGGAATACACATCCGTTTCTCGGCTGTGTTGAAATGTCCTGAAGACCTTCACTGCCTTTACATCGATCCACCCCAGTGGCCCACTGGTTAACGGCCTTGGCATGGATTTTTGCTGCACGCGGGTCGACTATGAGTCTTAATGTGTACTGCTTTGTCGAGGATTTGGTCATCGTTGCACGCCCGCGGATGCCAAAGCTGCTTCTTGCGCGGCGGTCAGCCAAAGCGCGAAACCGATCACCGGAACACCTCCATTTGGACCGACGGCAGTGCTGACCTCACCCGAGGAGTTTGGACCGATCAGCATGTCCATTTTCAGATCATTGAGCATATTGAGCCTTGAACGTTGAGAGCTTAGGTTGCGCCGCTGCCCTGTCTTGGAGGAGGAAAGCCGACTACGCTTGCTGAGCCTTGGTTGTTAGCACTGATGTTCACGAAGATATCGTGCTGCTCGTGTCTCGGGCTTTGAGTCAACTTCAGGAACTACCAGAACAATGCCATTTCGCGCTACCATATCTGCATTAAGCCTGTCGTGAGGGAAGCTTACCGGGATTCTCTGGACTGCTGTCCTAGAGCCGAGGCATTGAACACCTCGACAACTTGCCCAATCTCACCTTCCTGGATTTGTACGACAACAAGATCCAAGAAATAGAGAATTTAGCTTTCTGGCGGCAAGACACCACCGTCTGGGGACAGGCTTACCGTGGCAGGTCTTCTACAGAAAGGTAACTTTCGTCACGGGTTAGCTGAGGAGAAGTGCAAAAACTTGCGCGCACCTCTGCTGGCATTTACGGCTTTCATGCCTCCAACACCATGATTTGTGTTGCTCGCTGTTTCTGTCAGGTCCTCATGCTTGGCAAGAATCAAATCCAGCGAATCGAGAACTTGAAGACCCTTCTGAAATTGGACGTTTTGGACCTGCACAGTAACAGGATCAAGGAAATTCAGAACGTGTCACATTTGAAGCATCTACGCACCCTTGGCTGCAGACTGTCGCACGCCTTTGAAATCCCTAAGTGTCGGTTTCATTCCGCGGTTGTTGGAGATGTTGGAGTTTCCTGAAAAGATAGTCCAAGAAAGAGGAGACCTTGCCGAGAGTTGAAATTGAAAAGAACCCCACACGACAAGGCGTTCTGAATCTTGCTGGAAATTTTCTCCCGAACATCTTCAACTTGGACGGGCTGTCGTCCCTCACTGAACTGCCGCATGTCCCATTGGTGCAGACATACGTCGGCTTCCTACAGTCGTCCCGACTGACATCTTATATGCCCAAAGCTGTGATGAGGAATATTCGACGCAATTCCATCTCCACAACTGCTGGACTGGACCAGGCATCTCTAGAAGTAGAATCTTCGGGGGCATGGCCTAAACCCTTGTCACCCTAAGCTTTACACATCCAGGTGCCGCAGCTGCAGCGACTCTTTGCGTCACACAACAACATTGGCCTGCCGGAGGCGGGGCCTTTACTAGTGCTCCCACCCATAACCCGCACCACACACAAATATCACAAGTGAGCAGCGCTCAGAACCCACAGGAAGTGGTTGGAGATGTGGCTCTGACTGACCAGGATTTGCGATGGTTGTCCGCGGCCAGCAACCTTCGAGAGTTGGCCTTGGATGGGAATCCAGTTTCTGACCAACCGCAGGCCGGTGCCCAATCCTTTACCCCAAAGTTGAATGACCGGCCGAAAGATGAATAGGTGAATACACCGTACCACCCTCAGTGCAATATGTGTCACACGCAGACGTCACAGGCCTATCAGGTCGACATCTTGTCCCTGTGCCCGAGCCTGGAAATGTTGGCTGGCACCTGAGAATCTCTTTACTTGTAAGTGTACACGACGCAAAGTGCACAATCTCCTCAACACACGAGGACAATCTTAAAGTGGAGGCTCGTAGATGTTGCTTGGCTGCAAGGCTCTTGTTGCCCTTTGTGCAAGCAGCACCCACTTTCTGAGCATCTCTCTGAAGTCTCTCTTGAGGCATCCGCCCCACGAAAGCCTCGAAGCCCGAGCGCACGGAACTGACGGGGCTGGCAGCGGCAATCAGAGAAGATCTTTCCGCGCCATGCGGGCAGCCACGAGAAGCGCAGGAGGCGAGGCTCCCGGCCAGCCAAGGCAAGGTCGAAGCCCCGCTCGAAAGCCCCGCGCTCGAAAGCCCTGCGCTCGAAGCACCTGCCGAAGCCCTGGCGCGCCCGGAGCCAGAGCACGAAGTTGACGATTCCGAGCCACCAGTCGGTATCCGCAGCCACTTGGACCTCTTGGAGTTTCTGTCACCTGTTTGCCCAATCCGGTTCTCCTGGCTCTACACCACAGTTTCAGCAAACTCTACTACTACAGGCTTGGTTATCTCTCCGTCGCCATCGGCAGCTCCGCCCTTGAATCCCGCTGGAGAGGTGGAGGTCGGTCATGCATTCCATGGTGCCGAATCGGGATGCCTCGGTCACTCGGTCTCGGCCAGGACCTCGACCCCGAACTGGGCGACGCAAGAAGCGCCGTCGGCGCTGTCAGCGCCACAGCGGCATCGCAGACACCACCTCCGCCGTGGCCAAAAGGGCCTGCACGGGAGCCACATGGCAAACAAGCCAAAAGATCGCTCTGTGTGACTCCGACATTGATTGCAGCACATAGCAACTTGCAATGCTTTCAATCCGCTGCGCAATCTAAGGCTTGATGTTTTGCCGGTGCGCGCTTTGCAGGGTCTTGCCAGGCGTCCCATGACACCAACAGACCCTTGGACGGCAGGATAAGTGGGAAGTAAGTCGGATAAGTTGTGTATTGGTGAGTTGGGAAGTCCAGACTTAAACAAGGAGTTGCTTCCTTGCAATAGCTGGTCAGCTTGAACCATCAATGAGCACTACCTGCCGACAAAGACCCATGTAGCTGGCTAGATAGTGTGCATGAGGCAGCAATGCAATTCACTGCGGAGATTTGTGACTGAGTGAATGGGTGGGACCACCTGCTTGAGTTTTTAGTGTTATGACTGTAATGAACCCATCGCAAATGCAACTGCAGAAGAGCTTTGTTTCCGCATACATTTTCCAGGTCCTTGCGACTGTTGCAATGTCTGAGTTCATTATTGTTGAGGAAGGATTTGGTTTCTTTGGAAAGGGTTTGTTGCGAAATGCTGCCTCCACTCTTCATTCATGCAGCACTGCCTCACCATGCATGCGTTGCATCAATGTCGGCATCGTTCGCGCCAACGGCACTTGGTGTTGCTGCCTGTGCAGTTGCTCTTGCACCATCTTTGCCCTTGCGCTTGTGCTTATGGCATTTGGCATGCATGAATGCTTCGACTAGGCTGCAACCACCATGCCGTAAGCACAAGCAAGAGAGACAGTATGGTGTGTCTCGCTTTCAACTCGCAAGTGGCTTGGAGCACACCACAACCTTAGCACTCCCGTGGAGCCTGATTCAGTTCCTTACACACTGCATGCACCCACCGCCTTGGCATGGCAAACATGGAGGCTGCCTTTGTTCCAAGAATTGTGTGTCCCTCCTATGCTGGGTGACATGTTGTCTATACAGGCCCATGCACTATGAATGATCATATTGTGAGGCCTGTGCATTCACGCTCTGTGCTGCGCACCACGTCATGAAACGTCACGCAATCCGAAGATATGAAAAGCTTAGCCCGCGGCGCCTATGGATGAATTAAAAGACCTGGTGTTGAACATCAAGTGCTAGCTGGCCTTCAGCATCGAACCTTGCAGCTGCAGACTACGCGGCTCTTGCAAGTGCATCAATTCTCTGAACTGACTGACAGCTCTCACAGCCACGGGGAATGGCTCATGAAGCTGAAAGCACCGCTGCATTCATTCAGCGCGATCGACACTGCACAACATCCCGTTGACCCAAGGAAATGACATTGTCACCTGTCTGGTTGAAGCTGCACCATGTGGGCCCATCAACCTCATGTCAACTGCCGCAGAGGCTGCTTTCACCATGCATGCACCTCTGCACGTCCCGCAGAGCTGCAGACCCTCTAGATCCTTGTGGCCCCTTATTCAGTTCGAGCCTCTAGAGTCGCTTTTTCAAGTCATGTCTTAACTGTCTCAGTTGGATCGCTGTGGACTTACTGCAGGCCCAGCGTGGACTTACAGACAGCATCACCATATCCTCCATTCGATCAGGCCGGGTTGTATGGACAGGTGACATGCCACTCTCCTTCAAGGGACAGGCGTGCGTGGGTGATGCGACTAGGTTCATACTTGAAGGACTTAAGGATCTATATCATACATGGAATGGACCCCTCCTTCTGAAACTAGCAGAATGGGAAATGGGATCCCATTGCATAGACATGACAACGGGAATTGAATCGTAGCATTCAAAGAAAATCACCCACGTTGGTTCTGCAGGAACGGCCCGGATTGTGTGATGTACCTGGCTTTGAGGGATGACCTGTGACGGCGGTTTTTCTTCTACTGTGATGGAATTGACTAGTGGGCTTGTGGTTTGGAGATCGCAAGGAGTGGGTGTGGGAGAAGATCTTCTCTTTCAGAGTTTAGCATGTAGGGTTTCGCATGTATACGTGCCTTCCGTTGGCTTTGTAAGGACTTCTTGCTTGGGTTTAGGGTTTAGTTAGGGGTTTTGGTGCTGTTGTCGGACGTGAGTGCCGGTGTTGGGATAAGGATGAGGTGCTCTGCGCTTTGGCTTGGACGGGTTTATCTCGCTACCCTCATTGGTCTAGCACTCGCTGGCACTGGACCATCTCTTGAAGGAAGATGAAACATGGCAGAGACATGGCAGGGATGACTCTGCACGTGCGCATCGCCATCCATGCACGGATCTGACACATGCTCTCTGCCTAGGCCCGCAGCAACGCCCTGTCCTGCCTGCATCGTCTCAGCCTATGCCAAAGGCACCCTGCAGCTCAGAAACCGCCTGGGTGACGTGAGTTGGCTACGCCACGATTTGCCATGTTCAGGAGCAAAAGGCCGGCTCGATGACGAGTGAAGAGGTACTGCAGGCCATCCGTCTGCAGTGGGAAGTTGTGCTACAGGGCAAAGCCTCCATGACACGGCACGGCTACGTTCGCAGAGAACATGTCGCCGAGCTTTCCATTTGGGGCCGTGGTTTGGATGCCCTGGATAAGGCTGATGCTTCTCTGCAAGTAGTCTGGGCTCATGAAGCTGATGCAAGAGGTGAAGTGACCCCCTGCCTTTTGATCTTTTGCATGTGAGGAATACCAGAGTGCTGTGACCAGCATCCACTTCCACTACATCTTGATCGATACGCTGTGCGGTGAGATTGCTCGCCTGTTGAAGTTCAAGGGCTTGAGCAGCATCACGTTCATTCAGAATCAGATCTTCGGCTTCAGTTAGAGGGGGGGGGGGGAGGGTGCCTCCGCCAATTAAATGCCTTGCCCAGCAATCCTTTAGGCAGCAGGTGCAGGTTTTGAGAATAACGCACCCTACAAGCAGCACATGCGACGAGATGCCCATCAAAGACAAGAAGACTGGCAAACTCTCCCGTCCCCCAACACGGGCGTACGCAGTGTTGGTGACTAACACTACAATCCCTCTCTTCCCTTCACCTGGAAAAGAACGCTGGTGAGAATGGAATACACAGAATCTCACAGAATCTTGTGCTACCTTGAGCGCAGCATGACAGTCAGTAGTGACGTCGTGCTGGTTGGAGTTGAAGTCAGAGTCTGGTCATGGCCTGCCGCGGGGGGAGTACATTAACTCAATCACACAGATAAGGCCCAAAACAGCTATCGAAACCGAAGGATCAGCAAAACAATTGACCCTTCTCACACAAACTGCGAGTGACATGTGAAAGCAAGAGATGACATGAGCATGCTTGGACCAATTGTGCCACGTGCTTGCTGGGTGGCCACGTGAAGATGCCAAACTTGACAGGATTCTGGATCCGCGGGCACTGGAGCCGTTTCGCCGAATGTCTCGCTTGACAGATGTTGTCATCAAGGACTGCCTGGTCCAGTTGCACACAGGGTGTGTGGAGGGCTGAAATCTTCATTATTTAACACCAAGTTCTGTGCACCTGAAGATGGCACTGGGCGCGGTTCCATTCCAGAATCATAGCTCGCATGACCCGGGCGCGAGGAGAATCCCGTTTGCACGAACCGTGCCAATCTTCGCGTATCGCACCTTCAATTAGCCTGGCCTGCCCTGCAGAGTCATCGATATGAAAGGGCTGAGAATGGAGACCGTTTAGAGTTCGGGCACTTTGAGGTGGGCATCATTCGCTGGCTGCCCCACCTCCGCAAGATAAATGATCAAGATGTGACGGACCTGGAGCGTGCGGATGCGTGCAACCTTCAGGCAGCTTTGCACCTGGTCGTCAGAAAGTGTGTTTTAGTTGGGGCAAGGGGGAATGGGTTGGCAAAACATCAGTTGAAGAAGCTTTCCGTCCTGGTGGTTGTGGGCGGTGGGGCTGGGGTGGTGGAGGGAGCGGAGTTTGGGCACCCAGGCTTCTTAAAAGTGGAGTTAGAATATTTCAGAGGGGCTGATCGGGTCTTCTGCAACAAGCCTTGCTAACTCTGTTGCTAACCCTGTCGCCAGACGGTGTGCTTCGAAGTCCGAGGCCGGTGCTTCCTAGTCCGGAGCCGCGCGTGGCAAGCGCCGAGGACATGTGGTTGCCGAGAGTGGGCTTCACCGGTGGCGCTTCTGAGTTGATTTGGGACGAACATGCGCAAAGTACTTCCTGCTACAGAGGGTACCGCACATGCCGTATTCGCAGGCTGGTAATGCATCGCTAGACTCGCTAAGTCCTATGCACTGAACCCCACAACCCTAAACCCTAGACGCACAAATCGAGAAGTGTACCAAGGAGGGGAAAAGCCCTAGACCCTATGCTCTAAACCCTAAGCGCCAAAAAACAACTAAACCCTGAAACCCTAAATAAACCCTAGCGATCCAGAGCCTGTGCTCTAAACACTGCAGGTCTTGTTCACTAACGGGGATGCGTTTGCATGGTTTTTGATGCTTCACCATGCGCCCGCCCACTGCTCCACTTCCACAGGGACTGCCTGAATACGTGGCCTGCACACGGTTTTCGCATGATTTCGCATTGGCCTCTTACACTCTGCTTTCATTCTTTGCTTGTTGTTCAACATGGTCCAAACGACGGAACGCCGCAACTGCGCTCCGTGCCTGTTTTTCTTATTTCTGTTCGGGTGGGGGGGGGGGGGTTTGAAAACGCAGCCTTTTTTGGTACTTTTGCAGGCACTCAGTACTCAGGCAGCTCAGGCACTGTAGTACCTGAAGCAGTGTAGGCTTGTGTAAGCCCTGTCGAAAGCCAGGCATGTGGCAAAGACAAGGTGGATGGGAAGTTAAACCCTTGAAGCCCTAAAAGGATCTGAAAGCCCTAATCCCTCAAACGGGGATGGGAAGTCGAGAAAACACATATGAGAGAGAGAGAGATATATATATATGCTCACCCCCCCCCCTACGACAGACCCCGGAAGCGAAAAAAAGGCTACGGACAGCATTGCTGCACACAGCAGCCAGACACGTTAACAAACAATAGGTATATACATATATATATATGTGTGTATATCTATATATGGTACCTCCCCCCCAAAAAAAAAAACACGTCTCCATATGCTCTTCCCTGAAGTCCGACAGATCGGCCTGCCAGTTTGGTCATGGTAGGGTTTTACTAATTCATTAAATATTTACTCAACTTCACAGATTTGTCTACCGTAATTGATTTCAAACACTTTCGTTAACTTCGTTGATTCCAAAAAGCTTAATTCACATAATTTGATCCACTCAGCAATTGCTCGAGCGAGTGCTCAAACAGAAGTGACCTGAACAATTTGCTGGACATCGTGGATTGCTATTAATTTCAATAAGATTGCTGTTGGTTTTACTTGGGTTCCTATTAAATTTAATAGGATTCATAGGGTTCGTATGAGTTCAATAGGAATCCCATTTAAATCAATAGGAAACCCATTAAAATGAATGAGAACCCTATTGAAATTGAGACGAGTCTTTTGTGAAAACTTAGTAAGAATCCTAGTACAATCAATAAGAACCTGGTTGAAATACGTAGAAGCTTATTAAATTAACTGGGCTCCTATTAAATTTTCTTGGAGTCCTACATTCAGAGGAATCATAGGAAGGCCATTGAAATGAATAGGAACCCTTTTGAATTCATAGGAATGCTATTAAAATTAATAGGAACCCTACAAAAGAATCTATGAATTCTTTTAAGAGTAACAGGAATCCGTTTAACATGAAGATGAAACCTATTAAAAGATTAAGAGGAGGCAATAAAATTCTATAAAAAAAGTAACGTGGACGCTTTAAAACTTGAAACAATAAGAGTCGTACTGTTAGAACTATGATGAACCCTATTAAAACTTTTAATAAATAGGATTGCTAATAAAATTAATAAGAGTTACAATAACATTACTTCGAGTCCAAGTGAAATGAATAGGGAACAGGATTTAAAAGCATAATCGGAGCACTGTGGAATCTAGTAGGAATCCTATGAACATTATTAGGAATCCTGTCAACATGAATGAGAAACCCTGCTAAAATGAATACGAAGCCTATTCCAATTAATCAGAAGCCTTTTTACATGAATAGGAAGCTTGTCAAAGCAAACGGAATCCAATTAGAAATTGTACGACATCTTATGAAAATGAACAAGAAACCTATTGACATTAATAGGAATATGTTTAAAGTTTGTTATGATGCTTATTAAAATTCTTAGGCTAATTTATTAAAACTTTTATTAAAACTAACTAGGAATAAGAATGCTATTAAAATGACTAAGAATCGTATTCAAATTACTTTGCATTTGAGTAAAATGAATAGGAATCAATCTTAAACCCAATAAAGCCCTTTAATAGGCATCCTTTAAAATTCAATACGAACCTCATTAAACAAATACAGGTACCCTATTGAAAATCACTTTGAATGCTAGTAAGATGATTAGGAATCTTATTCATTAAATAAGGACCCCCATTAAAGTGAACAGGAGTATTATAAAATTGAATAGGCAGCCTAAATCATAATAAGGAATCATATAAGAACCCGTGAAAAAATCTTATCCAAACTCCAGTTTCCAAAATTCCAAAAATCCAAAAATCCACCCCAAAGGTTTGGATTTTTGGAAACTCGAACGGGAGCCTCAAAATCCAAAAATCGAGCAAATTCCTCGAGTTTCCAAAATTCCAAAAATCCAAAAAAAACCACCCCAAGGTTTGGAATTTTGGAAACTCGAGGAATTTGCTCGATTTTTGGATTTTGAGGCTCCCGTTCGAGTTTCCAAAAATCCTAAACTTGGGTTGGAATTTTTGGATTTTTGGAATTTTGGAAACTCGAGCGGGAGCCTCCAAATCCAAAAATCGAGCAAATTCCTCGAGTTTCCAAAATTCCAAAAATCCAAAAAAAACACCCCAAGGTTTGGAATTTTGGAAACTCGAGGAATTTGCTCGATTTTTGGATTTTGACGCTCCCGCTCGAGTTTCCAAAAATCCGAAACTTGGGTTGAAGTTTTTGGATTTTTGGAATTTTGGAAACTCGAGGAATTTGCTCGATTTTTGGATTTTGAGGCTCCCGCTCGAGTTTCCAAAAATCCGAAACTTGGGTTGGGATTTTTGGATTTTTGGAATTTTGGAAAGTCGAGGAATTTGCTCGATTTTTGGATTTTGAGGCTCCCGCTCGAGTTTCCAAAAATCCGAAACTTGGGTTGGAGTTTTTGGATTTTTGGAATTTTGGAAACTCGAGGATTTTGCTCGATTTTTGGATTTTGAGGCTCCCGCTCGAGTTTCCAAAAATCCGAAACTTGGGTTGGGTTTTTTGGGTTTTTGGATTTTTGGAAACTCGAGGAATTTTGGAGTGTTGGTCTTCCGCCCCCTTCCTGGACAGACTGGAAATGCAATTCCAGGGTCTGTCGTAGGGGGGGGGGTGACCATATATATATATATGTGTGTGTGTATGTATGTATGTATGCATGTATGTATGTCTATAAGGAGAGGAGTGGACAACCGCAGCTGCTGACCCGGCCCATCAAAACCCCTGTGCACATCTCCCTTGAGCTTGTCTTGTGGGCGCTTGGGTGATGCGCAGGACTCGTCCACTACTGTGGAAGGACTGATTCGCCATGCACCCCAAGCTGCATCGAAGTAGGGGCCTGCGCTGGAATTGATTCGTGTCTGCGCATGTCCAAGTCAGCAGCCGAGGCTTGTACAGTTGATGAGCGGATATCAGCCGTCCATGAGCACTTTCGGGAAGTTGTGAGGGATGCAATCAGTCACTTGATTGAACTTTGCACGTCAAATTGACGTTGCCAGCAGAAGTCGTTCAACATATTTTTGCTCTTCAGTTTGTGATTCCGTCAGGCGAGGTGTGGTGCGATCTGGCGGAGACCTCAAGTGCTGCGCCCCCTATGCCACTGCCATCAACAGGCATGAGTTGGAAATGATTGCGATCTTGTCCTGCGCAGAAGCAGAGCCTGCAAGCTCAGTACGATAGAAGAAATCTAAGCAGAATCTACCAGTACTGGGTGACCGGGTAGCAGCCCAAGCGGCCCAAGCCATAGCTGGTTCGACACGGCCGGGCAATCTCGACTTCCGCAAAATATTCAAGAAAATCGGCCTGCAAGGCTTTACCATCGACGAGTAAAAGCTTGATGGATGATGGGCTGCGGAACCCTCACACCGCTTCTGCGGAGAGAAAGCGCTTCTTGCAGGGTACCGTAATCATACGCATGGCCCATGCTGCTTTGGTGTTCCCCCATCGGTGACGGCGGAAAGTTGTAGGAGTTCAAGGAAGCACCATGTGCAGCTTTCCTACCGAAGCTTGCAACATCGAGCCAGGCAGCGGCATGCGCGGTCTTCGTTCCTGTTGATGTGATCAAGGAGCGGCTCCAGGTGGGAAATGTACCTGAGCACATGTGCACTAGTCACAAATATTCACAGATTCACACTCAAAGTTCTAGTGGAACATAGAAGTGGCCAGGTGCAGAGACCTGGTCGTGCCCTTATTTCCTCAAGCATATTGTCAGTTCTCTCAAGGGCGGTCCTTTTTCGAGAGGGCTTAAGAACCCGCACCGGAAATGGCACATGATGGCACATGCTTGTAAAGAGCTGAGCACGCCGCAGCCCATCACAGCCCCTGCGCCGCATGGCTTCATGTAGCAAATTCGTATAGCTTACACCACCGATGCTTCAGCTTCGAGGTGCGCTCAAACCCACACAACAAGCAGGCGTGTGGTCCGCAGTCCTTGGTTGACTCTTCTTATGGGGAGGGCTACTATGCTTTCTGCAGAATTATGTTAGATTTGCTGTGTTCTGAGTGAAGAAAACGTCGCCTCCAGGCCTCGGGTCGACGCCGCCGAGCTACGCTGGGTGTGCTCGGGGGGGTGGGGGTCTGGGGGGTTGCTCCTTGTCTCTCTCTCTCTCTCTCCCTGCCCCCCAAGAAGACTCTTATTTCAGGAGCTTGGATGCCCTTCGCGTGATCTCCCGCACGGAGGGCTTGCTTGGGCTCTACAAGGCCTTGTCTGTGCGTGCTATAGGGTTCAATGAGACGCATTTGGCTTGCTTGATTCGGCAGGGTTACTACGCCACGCTCGCTTCCTTCGGTCCGTTCTCGGCTTTGTACTTTGCCTTCTATGAGCAGGTGCCCTGAGCTCTTGACACTTGCGCTGCTACTGCTACATTGGTTTTGTTCGATTTCAGTGCGGCCCATGAAGAAGCACTCACCCAATCTGGTTCAAGCCCACATTGCTGAATCGACGAAAACTAGCCAGTCCTCCCTTGTATATGCGAATGCTATGCCGGCTACGCTGCTCCCTCCGCTAGAGGTTTGCCACCACAGTCGGCGTTGGCGACAGCGAGAGTGCGGAGTTCATGCATCGACATCGGTGGGCTTGCTCCATGTCAAGTAGCGGAAGACCGGCTTTTTGGCAAGCACAGTGGGGATGAGACGTGCGAGACGGCCGTCGTCAATTTCTTGTTGGTGGCATGTGGGTCATGGCACGTCCACTAAGTGATGACTTGGCTCAGCTCGAGAGTCGCGATCGCTAGGTCATTCCACCTGAGCCGGGAGTTTCCGGCCAGGGCTTGAGAGATGGAGCATCAGCCCTCCGTCGGCCGATTTCGTCGGAGCGCACAGCCTGCTAAAGGAGAGCATGGCCGTTGGGCGAACCCCGAAACCGCGTGGAGTGTGGCAGCTGCTTCTGAGCACAGCGATCCCAGATGTGTCTGCTGACAAAAACGAAGGAGGTCTGCGTCCCGGGTAGTTTGCGACATGGCGGCCAGAGAGTGTGCGCAGGCAAGGAGACTTGTTGCCGCTTGTGCGAACGAGCCCAACCCTGTCTGCGGCCCGGATTTCGCTTCTGTTGTGCTGCCACGACAGGCCTGACATCGACTGAGCACCTGTGAGTGAGAGAGCGAGAGAGACGGGTTGATGTGCCAAATGACAGCATTGTTTCCGAGAAATCACTCCCTCCAACTTTGACATTGGTGGCCTCTGCTTCTGCTGGCACAGCAGCCTCCGCCAGGGCCTCGAGGTGCCCCAAAGATTCTATAGATCCTAGACAGTATTTGAGAGAGGTCGTGACTTGCCCCCTGGACCTGGCAAAGCTCCGGCTCCAGACACAGCTGCGCCTGCCAGCAGGCCACGATGTGGTGTGCGAGTGCAAATTGTCAAATGGTGGTCGGGTACTCCCAGGGCAAAGTAAAGCTGATGCTGGCGACATGTGCCATTCCCAGATGCAGGTGCCGAGCTACCAGACGGACATCTGCGAGGGCTAGGAGATGCTTTGCACGTAGCTCAGACAATTCAGCTGACCAGCGTTCGTGGTTCGTAATCGTCGGGTGCTCACGTCTGACATTAAGTCGGTTGAGATGCATAAAGTGCGGTTGCTGCCTAGGATGCGCTTGTGGCGTCCTGCTCTCAGCTTTCGGATGGCAAGGAAGCCACATGTCGTCTTGGTCACATTTGGTCACATGCCCTTGCCACGGAAGTCTGCAATGGCATTGCCATCGCTTTGTCATTTACCTTTCTTTTTTGGAAGACGTCAGGTGAGGGGGGCCTTCGTGCGTTGTTTCGTGGAGCAGGCGGGAGAGTCATAAAATGTCATGAAATTCGCCGCCGTCCTGACATGGGACCTGTATGAAGGTGCTCGTGCAGCTTTCCACGCGCCCAGCACCTGCATCACCTTTACAACCTTCGAGGACCTCATCGGGTTCAGCCACAGCAACGCCATGACACGTGCATGTAGCCATATTTACCCGCTTGACTTGCTTGCCAGTGGGAAGTGGGAAGAGTCTAAGAGTCCTCCTGCTTACATTCAGCATGTACATGCTGCAGGCGGCAAGGGCTCAAGTAGTTGGAAGAGCCCGCCGCCATGTCGCGTCAAGCAATCCGGCTTGGTGCGCTTGCAGTTGCGTGCTGTGTGGCTTGGGTTCTTCCCCGGGCCTTTGTATCACCGTCACAGACCCTAGGCCCGACGCAGACCCATGGCTTCGCGAGGAGTGAGAGGCCGGTGGCGCCCATGGTGATGCGGGCAGACGCGCGGCCCTCCGCGCAGGCGAGCTCCGGGTCTAGCAGCTTCAGCATGCTCGGCCGGGCCTCTGCAGCGGCCCTCTGTGCCTTGGTGGCCACAGTCGCAGGCAGACGTTCCCACCAGCGCGCCGAGAAGGTTGTGGTCCGAATTTTCCCAACTCGGGTGCGCAGCCGACAAAAGACCATGCGTCGCCTGGAACCATTCGGCGAGATGCCCGCATGGTCGCGCAAGCCCCTCCTGAGAAAAAGGCTCAAGCAACCCTGGCGAAAGCGCCCATCGCCCAAGTTGTCCATGAAAGGTCGCTACTGGATAGAGAGATCACGGGTCAGCTGCCACTATAACGTCAAGATCTCACAGCTCACCAAGTATGTCTTGCGAGCTTTCAAGGAGGGTCGCAAGCACCCAATCGACACTTTGATGCAGATCCTGGAGAGCCGCCTCGACAACTTCGTGTGGCGAGTGGGCCTGGCACCGACCATGGCAGCCGCGCGCTGGATGGTGCGGGAGAACCACATCCAGATCCGCCATGCACGGAAGGAAGATGACTGGCGAGCGCCACGCTGGGTGACCACGAATGTGCCATCTACACTTCTGATGCTGGGTGACCAGATCCGGGTGCGCCCGAAGAAGAGCTCCCAAGGTCTTGCAAAAAAGCACCAAGAAGAAGATGGCGAGGTTGATGTCCCCGACCATCTGGAGTGGGATCGCGAGGCGCTGTATGGCAGGTACAATGACGTGTGTGATTCAAACCAACTGGGGATGAATGTTTGCGAGGACTTCTTGCTCTACAAGTTTCTTGGGCCAACGGGTGTCAGACAGCGGCACATCCGCTGGTTCGAGGGCACCACCATTCCCATCCCAAAGATCTACAACGGAGGCCGCATCCGACCCACACCCGAGAACATCCTGAACATGAAGAAGGGAGCTGGCATGCGCAAGCGTGGCAGGACCCGACCTCCGTCGTTGTGGGGCATGAAGGGCGGCAAGCAGCGCAACGACCCCTGGGAGTACGGCAGCAAGGTCAAGGTGTGAGCGAGGCTGAGTGAGGCAGGAGCATGCTGGCCCGAATGCAAAACGACGCGGACAACTTCTGTTGAGAGCACGGTAGCACACGGTCCATTTTGTTCGTGTGGGGCGCGACAGATGCACAACTTGCGTGTATACATGCGTATATATATATATATATATATATGTTTTTTGAAGATGTATGTATTTATCGTAAATTGAGTTACTTATTTATATAATGGTGGTTTGTACAGAATCAACCACAGCTTGGGCAGTCGCCTGTAGCGCATACTCGTGCCGGTTGCTCACGTGCGATTGAACTTGGTGGTTTGGTGCATTCTGTTGCCACTTACTGACCAAGACAAAGGGCTTTTGCCAGGCCCTTTATCATGATTCGCTTGGCGTGGCCCGGACTTTGCCGGGTCTGCGCGTTCGCAGCAGTAGCAGGATGGCTCTTTCAACCGTCGTTCATTGCTCCACAGAGCTCAAGGGCCAGATCCCATGGCTTCGCGCGGAGTGAGAGGCCGGTGGCGCCCATGGTGATGCGGGCAGACGCGCGGCCCTCCGTGCAGGCGAGCTCCGGGTCTAGCAGCTTCAGCATGCTCGGCCGGGCCTCTGCAGCGGCCCTCTGTGCCTTGGTGGCCACAGTCGCAGGCAGACGTTCCCACCAGCGCGCCGAGAAGGTTGTGGTCCGAATTTTCCCAACTCGGGTGCGCAGCCGACAAAAGACCATGCGTCGCCTGGAACCATTCGGCGAGATGCCCGCATGGTCGCGCAAGCCCCTCCTGAGAAAAAGGCTCAAGCAACCCTGGCGAAAGCGCCCATCGCCCAAGTTGTCCATGAAAGGTCGCTACTGGATAGAGAGATCACGGGTCAGCTGCCACTATAACGTCAAGATCTCACAGCTCACCAAGTATGTCTTGCGAGCTTTCAAGGAGGGTCGCAAGCACCCAATCGACACTTTGATGCAGATCCTGGAGAGCCGCCTCGACAACTTCGTGTGGCGAGTGGGCCTGGCACCGACCATGGCAGCCGCGCGCTGGATGGTGCGGGAGAACCACATCCAGATCCGCCATGCACGGAAGGAAGATGACTGGCGAGCGCCACGCTGGGTGACCACGAATGTGCCATCTACACTTCTGATGCTGGGTGACCAGATCCGGGTGCGCCCGAAGAAGAGCTCCCAAGGTCTTGCAAAAAAGCACCAAGAAGAAGATGGCGAGGTTGATGTCCCCGACCATCTGGAGTGGGATCGCGAGGCGCTGTATGGCAGGTACAATGACGTGTGTGATTCAAACCAACTGGGGATGAATGTTTGCGAGGACTTCTTGCTCTACAAGTTTCTTGGGCCAACGGGTGTCAGACAGCGGCACATCCGCTGGTTCGAGGGCACCACCATTCCCATCCCAAAGATCTACAACGGAGGCCGCATCCGACCCACACCCGAGAACATCCTGAACATGAAGAAGGGAGCTGGCATGCGCAAGCGTGGCAGGACCCGACCTCCTTCGTTGTGGGGCATGAAGGGCGGCAAGCAGCGCAACGACCCCTGGGAGTACGGCAGCAAGGTCAAGGTGTGAGACAGACGCGACCCTGGAGATCCTTCGGGCAGCTTTGTGGTGTGCCAGGCTGCATGAAATTCAGCAAGTGTTGTTGCACCAAAGGAACTGTTGCTTTCCAGGTTGTTCCCAGTTTGGGTTTGTGTGCTGCGCCCGGCAGGTTTCCCGAGATCATCATGGCCAAGTGGAGCTTCAATGCGACAGTTCAAACATCCCATGCAATTTGCCCGTGCCCCATGCAAAAAGCAGAGCTCATGTTTCGTGTCTAAACAAAGCCTCTGAGGTTTGTTGATCACGATCTGCAGTAGTTGGATGCCAGGGCTGTGTCAAGCAATGTTCCCAAGCAGGAGTGCCGAAAAATGGCGCAGACTTTCATCTGAGGACAAAGTCCGAGCCTGGAGTCGGACATGGCTTCCCAAACAAAAAGCGATCAATCAGCGCGTGCCGGGGGATCAACAAGTGTTGCATGCCTGCTCGCTGCGGTGTTGAATCACGTACCACCACGGTCCTTGGCCGCCGCCCGCTACAGTTTGCTCAGAAAGGGTTCTCGCTTGACGCTGATCATGCCAGCAACTCATCTTTGAGAACAACGTGAGATCCGTGGCATCGCAGTCTCCCAAGGCCTTCTACCCCACTTCCGGCTCCACAGCCGATACCGGATGGTTACTACGTGTGTGCCTCAGAGATGCCAAACTTGTTGCCATTTAAGTGGCTCCTTCAGCTCTCGATGCGACAAGAAGGTTGCTCCTCCGCCGGCCAGACCTTTGCTGCTTTTTATCACAAATGTCAAGAACGCCAGAACTATCTGGGTCGCTGGCTCGGGAAGTTTGAGCGTGTCATTCGGAAATTGGTGCTCTGCTTGTCTGATGTGAGGTGGAGATCTCCATCAACGACAATGTGCACATGCTGAAAAGATACACCGCACGCAAGATGCTGATCCCAGCTGGAGGCTGAGGCAAATTGTGTTCGCCGTGCTTGGGCGTATGTGGCGAGGGGTGTTCAGACCCAGGTTGAAGACATGATCCTTGTCTACCAAGGCCATGGCAGTTCTGAGCTAAGTCAAGTGCATTGGCCCTGCATCCAGGAGAGGAACTCAAGAACGACACACAAATCAAGCAAAGCCCCTTGGCTGCGCAAACGTGCGTATCAGCAGCATGAAACACCATGACGCATCAAGAGGTGCGGAGCATGAGCTTGTGTCCGTGCAGGTAAGCTTGATTTCGTCATCCAGAAGGCGCTTGGTTGGACTGCCCGTCGCAGCAAGGTTTTCTTTCTTCGGCAGATTTTGGCAGGCTGCAGAAGGCGAGCCATCGGCAGAGGATTGCACCATACACTTGATTGACATCAAGGCAGGGTCGTTTTTTCAGTTCTTTGACTTCGACTAGGTGTGTGTGCCGTGCCAGGACACGCCGGCAGACATACGGGAGCCCAAGCAGACAATGGATGCAACGCAAGCATCCTTCTGATGTTTGCAATGGGCATGCGGCAAGTTCAGCACTTGCAAACGCACCTGAATGTGCTACGTAGCTGCTGGCGATCAGCACTGGATCTGGAGCAGGCTGGAAGACAGCTAGCCAGCAGGCACTCCATGTTTCACAGAATCTCACGTAGTTTTTGCAAGAAGCAAGAACTCGACTCACCTGTCATCGTCGCAATGCTTGTGCAGCTCAGGGTAGGGAGGCTGAAGTCACAAGCTTTTCTTGGCCCCTGCAGTGCCACAAACAAGTGAGCTCTTTGTGCCCACAGGCGAAGTTTTTGACTTGCAAAGCAGAGGCACGGATTCACCGACCGAACCCCCGTCACAACCGTCACATCCTTGTGCATGTGGCGCACTCAACTCTAGTCTAGCGACTGTCTCGAGCTCCTGCCCTCACCTGGTGCTTGCTTCCAAAGTAAGAAGATACTGTTTCGGACCTCAACCTTTTCCCAGAAAGTGGAGGTGTACGGGATGTGAAGGTCGAAGGTGCAAACTTTGCAAACGCTCTTTACAGGTCTTCGCTTGTGCGGGCGAAGGACTAGCCCTGACTAGCCTTAGCATGAACTACAGATTTGGTAGCTACTCTCGAATGGGTTTACGCAGCCTCCCAGACCCAGAGGCAGACCCATGAAGTGTGTTTGGCCCCTGGCAAAGACTGGAGTCGCATGTGAAGGGTAACCCTCACAAACACCGAGGACACATGCGCCTCTATACTTGTAGGCAGCCTGGCTCGGAGGCAGCCTATAACAGAAAACCACGAAGCAAGCATGTTTCACATGTCAACTAGACGGCAGTCGCACCTAGCAACCTGACTGGCAAAATTGGGATGATTTTGCTCGCAAGAAGGACTCCATTACAGGGGAGATGCCGACCCAGCCCACCCACCAGCCTCCCAAAGCAAGCTAACAATGAAGTTCAACAGCATGTAGCAACAACTTAGCTGGACAGCCGGGGCGTCTTGAGCAGCTCGCTAGCATGGGATGCCGCTCTTCCAAAAGAATCTGCTGCGTGAGCCCTTCCTATGAGGGGCAAATTGCTACTCGGAACACTTCAGTGGACGAGATCGACACGCATGCATCGCCTATCATAGCATTCTCATCGCTGCTCTGATGCCTGAGGAGAATGGGTCACTTAACACTACCGAGAGTTCTTTTCGCTACAACCGCCACGCGGGGGCCTCAGCCTGCGGTAAGGGCAGTGAAGATGGGCTCCTCTATGCTCCTCTCTTGAAATTTTGCTTCACACGTCCCATGCTTTTGACGACACGGAAGGAAAAAATGCTGCCGCTGGCAGGTACTGAATCGTGAGACAGGCAAAGTCTTCGAGGAAGTCATTCCCGGCCCAGTATGGTCCATACTGAAAGGGTTGCCACTTGGACGCAGTTGCCGGCGTCTGCACAGTTTCTTGAGTTCTTCAGGTCATGGAGAAGTGTGAACATTGGATTTCGGTTGGGTAGATTTAGACATTGGAGCACGCGGCGCAATTTGAGCAGGTATGCGACGACAGCATGCGGGATAGTTCCTGCGCATCCTCTCAGATGTTGTCTGCGGAGGCAGGATTTCATGGAGAGACCCGGGGTGCCCTGCTTTAGCTTGATCTGCTCACAGGTTGACCCAGCATGCCGGTCGCAAGATGCGCTCGACGTCCAGCAAGAAGGACCGCAAGCCTCCACGATTCCACATAGCTGAGGCGAGTGTGGAAGCGGCGTTGCAAACTGTCGAAGTGCACCAGGACGTCCAGAAATTTATTCATGTGTATAACATTGACATGGACGAGGCACCCGACACCCGGCCCACCCGGCTTCTCATTGTACGGACTGTTTGGAACTGGCTGTTCAGACATGGAAGTCATGGAAGTGGAAGTGTTCGGTACTGAATGTGACGCACCGATCATAATCATGACGCAGATAGCAATGGTCACACGCTTGGGGTCCTTGCCTGGCGGTTTGCTACATATCCACGGCTGCATGTTGGAGCCCATATAATTTGGCTGAATGCTTGCTGCATAGGTGCTGCTCCCACTGAGCGAATTTCACTCAATGAATGCCACTCAGACTGAATTGGCCCTCGGCTCTCGCTCCAGGTCCCACCCCAGAATTCCGTAAGCCTGTTCAGCATCCCGGTTTCCGATTAAGCCTTGGAGTATACGCTGTACCAGACAGGCACCGGAAGACCAAGGGAGAGTGGAGGGAGGGTGGGAGCTTTTGACTTTTGAGCTTCAGGACTTCTTCACACGCGAGCTGAAGCCTTCGGCGCGACCCATTCACAGCCCCCAGGACGGAGTTGTGGAGCCTTTGCTTTTGGAGTCAAGGTTGCCGCGCGTTGCCAAATCATGGGAGCTGTCTCTGTGCTTCCAGTAGCCTCAAGATCGGAATTGCTCGTTTCTTGGCATGCCGGTATAACAGCCTTCCCCCATCCCTATACAATGCCAGGATGCCAGCGTTTTTGTCAGCAGCGCAGATTGCCGAGCCATCGTCTTTCCAAACTTTGAAGAGGCGGCACGCGTTTGGATCAAGGCAGTCGCCTTAGAGATTAGCCTTGGCAGATACGGCATGCCTGCGAGTCGCTGGCTCCCCTTTCTTGTTGCCAAGGGCTCCAAGTTCTCACTGGCAGGACGGGTGTGTTCTTGAGCTGCGTCACTGCAACTTCTCATGAATGTGATGTCACTGTTTTGTTTCAATGAATGCGAACGAAGAGGTAGTCGGGAGTCATCGGAGAAGGTACAGCATAGCGCAGTGAAACGACTACATTTGCCCTTGGTTCGGGCAGCAAAGCATTGGCGACTGGCGATCCCAGCTGCTTGCGTCAAGACGTGCACGGTGAAGACCGCTGTGGGCAAATCTATGACTAACCACTACGTCATTACGTGTGTCAGTGGAGCTGAAGCATCAAACTTGTCCAACGCTTCACAGCTGTGCACTAGCCACGGAGCTTGCACCTTCACGGAAGCAATCTCGCACAATCGCATGGGTCAAGTCAGACTGTCTGTCCGCCTCGTCTCATGATTTGGGTGCCCCAAAAAAGAGGTTTCAAGTGCGTTGAGTCTATCACAGGGGCAACATCAAGCATGCAAGCTTGTCCTACTTGTGCTCCGTGGCAGAACTGTTGGGAAGCTCTGCTGCGGCAGAGCCTTTTCTGCGGAAGTCAGGCAGTTGCGTGCAACCCACGGTTGATGAGGGATCACAGCTTTGACTTCATCTGGCTCGTCCAAATACGTGAAAACTGCAGGCTGTTCTGTGGCTGTTCTCCGCCTGGCACCACAGGACCTTGCCTCGCTCACTTGTCCATGTGGGTTGAAATGCAGTCTGGCACCTCTACATGTTGCGCAAGCTTGGCGCAGAAGAGGATTACCACCGCTTCCACTTCCCCTGCGGCCCGGGCCAGGCAATGGCAGGGGACTGTTGGGATGAGGTTTCGGATGGGGAAACTCTGCTTGCGCTGGAAGGTCTTGAGCCAGAACTGTTTGTCGGGGGAGTACTACTCAGTGAACCCGGTGGCTATTAACAATTCCAGCGTCGACGTGCTCACTGAGAATTGTAGATCCGCGACGTGGCTCCACGTTAGTTGTTTCAGCGACCGGGAGACCCTTCAACCCCAGAATTGCAATGGTGCGAGAGGGGGTCGGAAGTAAATTCAACACCTGTCGAAGCAGACCATGCTCCAATGAAGCATTATGTACTTCATATTGGAGATATGTCTTTGCTTGGCTTGGTTCGTCTTGCTTCCAGGTTTTCAAGCATGCTATAGGGGTGGCCCGGCACGCGCTTCTACTGACAACGAAAGCATACGAATGCCACTTTCTGCTTGGCCAAGCCGCTGTTGAACCTCTCTTCAACTCTCTTCTCATGCCAAACCCCAGTTTGTTGACCTTTGAAATCGGCTGATATGGCCGAGGCTGGACGCGTTCAATATAAGTATGCAAGAAGTGGTACATGTAAGTTTTGTGCCCACGCTATCCAACTTTGCAAGTAAAGAGGCTCCGGGTTGCGGTTGGAATCACACGCCTGAACACAAGTTCGGCATTGATTTCATCACAATTTTCTCGTACGCTGAATTGGCACTGCTGTGCATTCCTCGGTCGAAGTTTCCGGTCCCACCTCGGTCCTTGTGCGCTTTTTCAAGCTTCAGCCGCTTGGTGTCGAAAACGTGTCAGGGCTCTTGTGGACGTTTTCGCTTCTGACGTACGCGCATGTGCACTTCCGTGGTTTTAAAAAACGCGCCCGTGCGCATTCTGTCGTCGAACTGTCGTCGCCTTGGATGCTGCTCCCGCGAATGACAGTTGAAGCCGTCGTCGTGGTCACACACACACACACACATATATATATATACACATCTATATATGTATATCTACATATATATATATACACATATATACTCGTACATACATATATATATATGATTATTACCCCGAGGTGAGGGTTGGGCGGGTCTCAGATTCATCTGCTGCTTAGGTCAGCCTTCTTCAGCATGCCGGCTTTGGCCTAGTCGCCTTTGTGGCTGTGGGCGCTACGCTGGTGGGCTCCGTGGAACTTCTGAGAAAGGCCGCGCCATAAGTTGGGTCATGGTTTGCCACTTGCTGAGTGGCATTCAGGATCCTTGCACGCACGCACTGCGTGTTATGTGACCTGCCTACTGTTGACATGGGTAGACAGGTAGGCTCGGATTTCCAGAAGGGAGATTGCTATGGATATTTCCAGAAGCTTTGCTGCACTGTTCCTGAGCTGCTCTTTTCACACCTGACGTGGGATACTGAGCTTCCCTGCAGTGAGGTATGGAGGGTCCACTTGAACCTTGGCTACAGTACGCAAAAATCTTGAGCAGCGCTGCTCATTTCCCCCCCCCCCCCCCCCAATTTGGGCCCCCAATTGCTTCACTAAGGTGTTGTCCTGACGGAGCCTGGAGCTGTGCAGTGGGACACGGACCTGACGCTGGTATCGGGTTCTGATTAACTCGGTAGGCCCTTGTGACAGTTAATCTCTGTCCTTATTGGGTTTTAGGAGGATCATACGCAGGAATATCTTTCATAGGGTTTTAAAGAGGGCCAGCCGAGTTAGCGCCGCTGTTATCGCAGGACCTCCTGGAAGCCTCGGCGCGTGGCCTCGAGACGCCTGGTTCAGGCTTAGTTTTCGGGTCCTGCTTTTGAGTCTTAAGAGGTTTCTTAAGGTGAGGTGCAGGTCTGAAGGGAAAGGGGAGCTGAGCATGTTCCCCCCCCCCCCCCCGCAAGTTTCCCGCAGTTCACCCAAAGAGTTGAGAAGCCTTGGAAGCCTTGACCGAGGACCTTTGTTAGGATGGGAGACAGGATGGGCACGTGCGCCAACTGATCGAAATGGTCACTCTTGGTGACCTGGCACGCAGGCATCCATCTAGCATGTGCCGTGCTTTGCCACCCATCTGCTCACATGCAAAATCCTGCTTTTAATGGCTGGCTGGACCTCGGCATCCGTTAGCCCAAATTGTTTCCTCTGAGCTTTGTGACATCTGTGAAATCCTTAAGTTCAGCTCACTGCGACGCAAGCGATGACCATTCGCATGTACAAAGCTCAGAACCCAACATCTTTCTGACACTGATGGTTGCTTCTGCAAAAAGCACCTACGCATTGGGGAGCATCATGCGGACGTAAGCAACTTGTATTCCGACGCCTTCTACGCGATGCAGAATCAACCTCAGCTGCAGCTTCCATAGCGTGATACGTAGGGTCCGTCGCGCGGCTGCTTGCATGCTGGAGCGAGATTTCAGGTACCTGGTGTGAGCATACAGCATACTTGTAAAATGCAGTCGCAAGCTGCAGTCTGCAAAACCCTAGCTACGCGACTCCTGCCTGCATCGTAAGCCAGCCGCGCACATGTTGGGGCAGCTACCGGCAATCACAAGAATAGCTGGCTGTAGGGGTGCAAAAGCGCGGGATCAGGGACAACTGCGGGGCATGAGCAAGTTGCCAGCTTGTGGAGCTCCGCTTGCGTTCCCTCTCGGCAGATCAGCGGGCAGAGATGGCAGATGTCAATCATTTGCCCTCTGCCTGGGTTTGCGTCAGCTTTGCACTCAGTGATATCCGATAGAAAGGAGGCACATGGCGCCACGAAAGTGGGTGTGCATGTTATTTTCCAGCAGATGTTCTTAGCCCAAGCTTACCCGCAGGAGCTTGCTAAGTCTTTGGCCGTAGGTATTTACCACTGAAGACGCGGCGAGACGGCAAAGCTCAAAAGGTTGGTTCTCCATTTTGCCCCGTGCCGACTATAGAGAGCATTAATTTGGGGGAATCATTGATGCAAGAATGCGCAAGAGCTGCAATTGGGAAACTTCCTGACTATTCCTGCCCACCGTTGCCACATCAACCTCAAGACTGTCGTTGCCTCCCTCAGTGGCCTTTTGCCCAAGATGCCGCCCAAGAAGAAGGTCGAAGAGGAAGCGGTTGAATGGGCCCCTGCTTTCTAGGTTGACCAAAGCCTTCAAGACGGAGCCCAAATGGTTCCGTTGGCATTTGCCTTCACATGCATTGACAGGAGGCCGTCGGCCCATGGATGTTGGGCCGCTGGTCCCGCGCACTCAAGGTCGGTCTAGTGGGCATGCCGAGACTTGCCACATCCAAGGACAGTGACGTCATTCGTTGTGATGTTAAGTACTTGGTCTTGACGCTTCCTTGCTTCAAGTCATGGAGTGTGATAGGAAATGACAGGAAGGCGGGCTTTGCCAGACGTGCCGGGAATTTGCCTAGGAACGTCGGGAAGAGTACGCTCTACAATACGTTGAGAGTCCCGGCCGGATCAATGTCAAGCCTGTAAGCGCTCAAGACCACGTAGGCATTTCACGAACCATTTGCGCACAACATGTTTCCCAGTAAGATGGATTCCCAAGCTGCACGCGTCATACAAGGCAAGTCTCATCACTCGAAAACTGCCAACGCGAGGGTCTCGGCCAAGTCTTTTGACAGTCCAGCTTGACATGCAGCTGCACGTCTTCCAACTTTGCTAAATGCTGCGAAGCTGGCAACATGGAATTCGTACCGCTGGGGGGGGGGAGGCCGAGAGCCAGTGTAATTTAGTGTAATGTTTCATTCCTTCGGAATCCATTTAAGATATGGCCATGTGGAATCCCGAGGTGCCCTTCTGCACGATTGACCCCACCGAGACCAGGGCCTTCTTAGAGGACGAGCGATTTGATTGGCTGGTCGCGCAGCACAAGCCAAAGAGCGAAGTGAAGGCCCGAGATGGCTTAAGAACACCAATAAGAAAGAGAAAGGGCTAGAGAAGAAGAGCAAGAAGAACTGTTCAGTTTTGTGTTTCATGTCTTCATGTCTTCTTTCACGGCTCGACACTGGAGGGCTTTCCATTGACGCCTTGCAAAATCTTGCAAAGCAGCTTTTTGTTTCTGTCGCCGAATCTTTCTGCGTGGTTCTGTACTTGCTTGTGCTTATGTGATGCTACTTGTTACTACCTGCTGCTTGTTACTTCTTGCACGTGGTGGCTGTGTCGGACTCGGGATCTATTCTTGCCTCCACCCTGCTGCTCAGGTCCTAGTGCTCGGGTGCGACATCACGCACAGCTACTGTATCCGTGCCTACGATAATCGTCACTTGTTTCCGTGTGTTACAGGGTGTCGCATCTTGGCGCAGTTGCCCTCGGAGCCTCGAATTGTTGTTGGCCCCGACGAGCGGCCGAGACGAATAGTTGAGCCCTGTATCATGTCTGGTAAACGTGCCTGTCATCATCAAGTCTATCCCTCTTTGTGTCGCAGCTTCGTATCACAGGCGTCTTGTGCAATCTATGGGCCACCCGACAACTCATCTCTTGACCCTTTCCAGACCCCAGAGACCCCGCGAGCGTGGACCCCTTCCTCTGTTTCTTGGCTTCGCCTCGGGCGACCGGTGACCGACATGAAAACTGAAGTAGTGCGGAAGCAGCTGTGAACATGTTGGTAAATGATGCACAGGCGTTTGTCACAGTGGTGGACATTGCCGGCTTGATTTCCGGAGCCCACAAAGGCTGTGCCAGGATTGAGGCACCTGGTGTTTTCCTTGTCGCCCTCGCGCGAACTTCAGGCGAAGGCTTGGGCAATGCATTTCTTTCCCATATTCAGTCCGTGGAGCCGATGCTGCATTTAGAAGATTCGACTGGTGCCGACTGAAAATCCACAACCCTGCACCAATCTGACCCAGGATGGCATTGTGCACGTCATGCGTGCCTTTGAAGATGACGACGTTATCCATGCGGAAGACACGGTAGACCCTGCTAGACACCCGGTGCAGTTGCAGGCACATGTACTGCATGTCAATCCTCAGACTGTGAGCATGAGGTGCGTGACATCAACACCATCTGCAGCGAACTGCGCTTAAAAGACATCAGTTACATGAAGGGCAAGGCCTGACAACCGCGGTCGCTTCTGTTTGCTGTAATTGTGGAACAGCAGACCCTGACCGAGTGCGCTGCGCTGCTGGTGCGTATTGCCAGCCGACGCTGCAGCATTCCTTTTGCCACCCTCCGCATTTTGCCCTGTGCAAGGTCGAGTTCCACAAGAAGAGTCATGCAGCAGCTAGAACCAAGTCGCCCGCTCACCTGAAGACGCACGGCCCCAAAGTTAGCAGCATGATCTTCAGACACAGTAGACCCAGCTCGAAGATGCTCATGCATGGCTTGATTGTGCTGTCTGCTTTTCGCGGCTTTGCGGTAGTGTAGCGTTCAGTCAGGCGGCTTCTGTGAATTGCCCGAAAACTGCATCGCATCCTTTACCTTGGCATCAAGGAAGTGGGAGGACGAGCTGGAAACAATGGAAAAAGTTATTGCTTGGCTCGAGGAAGGGAAGGTCCGCTTGCTAGGGGCTGAATTGTGCACAGGGGCATCTGCGGCATTTGTGGCATTTGCGACATATGTCTTGGGCTCGGTTGCCAGGATGTCAAGACACTCGGCCACAAGTTGCAAGCCACCCGAAGTCGATGCCCAGCGATGCTCACGCTGGGTAAGCATGGCAAGCCCAACCTTTTGTTCCTTTGAGGAATGGGATGGACAAGTGGACGACCAAAGTTGCTTGTCATCGCTTGTCGATAAACATCTCCAGATTGTCCATGCTTGTTCAAGTGCCACTGCTGCGTCAACTAGCGATGACCAAGGACATTGAGTACATCAACGACTACGGCCTGCTTACTGCGAAGCCCTGCATGTACGCAATCAACATGAACAAGCTGCTTGTCTTGCATGTCTACGGATGCGATGAAGCATGACAGCACGAACGTAATTGCTTGCACAGCTGAGGAAGGATTTTTGCAGGAAAAAGCATCTTGGATGTGATGCCGGCATGAACCGGGCCTGCATGCGCCCTGTTCTCCCCCTCGATGCTGAGGAACAAGTTCCTGAAGCCCATCTATGATTGGGTACAGGCCAACTCCCCGGGCAGCGCCATGATTCCCTACTGAAGCTAGGTGGCACCATCCGGCAACATGTCAGCAGTGCCAGCATGTTGACAGGATCAGGCATCGAAAGCGGAACAATCTGAGGCGGCGCCTACGAAGAAGAGTTGCAAGACATGGAGACGGAGGCGGAACGACAGAAGCAACTGACCGAGGATGGTCGCTTGCCCGGCGACTGTTTTTCAGCCCAAGAGGGAGCTCAGTTTGTGGACCTAAGCAAACATCAAAGTGCACTGCGATGAGTCTTCTTCGACATTCTTCACTTCTCAGTCCAAGGTGTCGTTAGCGCAATGCCGAAGATGATTACGACAGCCTTCCACATGGTGCAGCTGCTTGAAAACTGCGCAAGAGAGTTGCAGCACCTGCGGAACTTTTGCATGCAATTCACGAGCTTCATGCGATTGACTTGGAGGTGCACCTGATCAACTTCTTCACAGCGGGGCCTGACGAAGTGAAGGCTTGGACGGTCCGCAAGGGATACAAGGCGCTTCTGGGAAGTGCTCCTCCGCAATGTGCTCCGCAATGTGCTCCGCAGATCCCCATGTGCCGCGTCATTCTGCCCCAGGCACCTCAAGCGGCCGGAGTTATTCATACCGATTTTGAGAAAGGCGCGTGGGGATTTTGATGCGTTATGATACTTCAAAGTTTTTTTTTTTGCGTTGCGGCGCCCAGATCTTGCGACGAGGCTTCATCATGGCCGAGGTCATGGCCTTCAGTGAGTTGAAGGAGCTTGGCAGCGAAGCAGCAGTGAAGGCTGCGGTTGGGGGATGTGTAGGAGAGTAGGAGAATCCAGGCTGCGTGGCTCGAAGCTTTCCATGATGCACACGGATGCTTTTATGCTTTGGGTAGGCAGCCGGCAAATACCGGCAGGAAGGCAAGCTGTATGAGGCAAGTTGTCTTGCGATGCCCGGCGCCGGTTCGTGACATCCTGACATGTGCCCTTCAACCGGGCTGCTGTGCAGGTGCAAGATGGGGACGTCATTTTCTTCAAGTTCAACCTGGGCAAGGGAAAGTGATAGGGCAGAGCTGAGTAAGCCCTGCAGTCTGCGGCTGCTGGTAGCAAGTCCTTTCGCGCAAAAGGCTTCTTGAATTCTCGGTGTGGCGACGGCACCGGCAGTTAACGATGCAGGCCACGTGGAACGGCGTGAGTCCACCTTCTCTAGTCTTCTTGGGTCATGCTTTAAGAATGACTCCAAGATTTGTACAGTTTTGCCCAAAAGCAAGACGGAAAGGAGAGGGCCTGCATATCGCGGAATGTGGAGGTGGCGCGCGTGGACAGCTGAAAGACGTCGGGGCTGATTTTTAGTCAACTATACATATCCCAGCTTCTGGCTGGTCGCCCTAGTCAGCTTGAAAGCTACTGCAGAACACGAGGAGCGACTGCCAAGAAGTTTCCGAACTGCCTTGAAAGATTGTGTTTTGCTTCGATTCTTCCCCTGCAGCCATTCAGACTTTTGAGATGGAAAGAATCATACAGTGTAGCATTGCGTATGTCGCACAATGACGTCGACATGTTCAGACTTCGTCGCGGCGTCATCTTGCGCAGAACTGTTGGCATCTAAGAATATCTGGAAGCCTTGAGTTGTGTTGATGCGTCGTGCCCGTCGGTCATGAGTCGATCATGATGCTTTTGGGCCGCGGCGTGGGCCAATGCACTGCCAGGGTGCTACGCATCTAGGTGGCAAGCCAGCTTGCTCAAAAGGGGAAGGTAGAAGATGGTAGCATGTGAGGCTCCAGCAGCCTCACACATGACAGCTGCCCTGCTTTCGGGTCGTAAGGCTGTCAAGTTGCTCTTCACCCTTCCAAGATCTTCTGGCATCTTGGACAAAGACTTGCCTTGCCATCCTTGCCTTATGACGCCATTGAAGACTGGAAGCTAAGGGAAGCTGCAGATATCTTGGGGTTTCCTTGATTCGGACTGGGGGGACGGGTTCTTTACAAATCTGGTTAAGATCCAGCAAGCTGTCAAGGTCCGCTTCATGCCCTCTACCAGAAAGGCCCATCCGAGACCCTAAACTTTAATGTCAATGTGAATCCGAACACACTCCCGAGGCGCTGTGCATCCAGCAGAGATGAGAAGAGCCAGGCAGGTCGTCCTTTCTGATTTCTTCTCACGCGAGTTGAGGGTTGGGATGTCTTGAAGGGAAACGAAGAACTTGATAGGACTTGTGTGATGGCTCATTGAGGACCCTGCAGCTTCAACGCCGTACCGAGGGAAACGCTCTGTGGAAGGGGATTTGCTCCCCATTGCAGACGCGGAGGACCCACGATTGAGCAAGTGGCAGAATAGTTTGGGACGTTCCCCTTTATACTAACTAACAGTCCTTAATAGGGGTTAATCGGGCGTACTATCATCCCTATTCAGGACTGTTAGTATAATTATCAGGGGGAACATCCCAAAGAATAGGTGAACCCGTCATGGCGACATGGTTTGTGACATGTACAGCGCTCCCTTTGCCCTTCGCTGTGCGCATCGTATGCTTGACCGCCGCTCTGAAAGGCGCCCGAGGATGACCAAGCCTCCAGTGCCTTGGTTGACGCAAGTTGGGGGGAGAGTTTAGTGTGAGGCTTCAGAACATCGGCTCGACTGAGGCATAGACTCTCGCCTGAGCAATCGGATGCAACTGAAGACCAGCAGCGCCTTGGCTGCTAATTGCTTAAGAACCCCCCCCCAACAAAAACAATCTCCTTGTAAGGACAATACAGGGGTTTTCATTTTGCATTTTTTGGGGGGATTCTCAAGCAGACAGTAGTTAGCTGCTGGAATATGACTGCTACCAGTATGCCAGGGATGCAGGGTATGAGCGAATGAGTGTGGACGCGCAGGTCAGCGTTTGGGTTCGACAGAGAACGTCGACGGCATGTCACTCGAGCGACAAGTTATGCCAGTTCTGCATGGCACTTGTTATGTTCTAGCTTTCTTGCTGAAACTTGCCGGAATGTCAGCTGAGGTATGCGGACATTCCTTCTGATCGAGTGGAAGACAAGGCCAAACAGCACCTCGATCGCACCAAGGATGGACAGACAATGACGGCTAAACCAAGAAATCGCAATTTGGCAACTTGACTTCTTCATGAAGCTCATTGACTTCGCGTGCCGACCTGTCAACGCAGGTATCAAGTGCATGACAGCCAGGATCATCTGGATGCCTTTCAAAACGTATATCGCCGACTACGGCGGACCGGGCGAGACGAAACAGACAGGGATGTCTCGGACTCACTGTGGAAGGCCGGTATCTGCCCATATCTGCCCAGTTCATGACAGCTCCAGCCTGAATAAAAGCAGAGGCCATGGAGTACGCGAAAAAGAAGAAAGACAAAGGATGATGACGACATGCCTTCCAGCCCCGTGCTGGCGTAGAAAAATGAAAAGGGGACATGCAGCCTATGGCAGAACGAGAGTAAGTGGCATCTCTTCAACGCTTTGAGTGTGTCGTGCTTCTGATTGGCAGATCTCTTGCTGGCACCACTTGATGATTTGCCCGGTCCTCGGCCCATGGCTTGGTCTGCAACAAAGCTGGGACGGCAAGCGTAGAGCTCGCTCCTCCCGCTTGGGCTCATGGATGCCGGCAGATCCGCACCCTGGCAAGTCAAAGCAAGCTTGGGGAGGGCTCGCAATCAACAACCTATGAGTTCCAGAGACATCAACGAGTGGTACCAATGTCCTGCACATGCCTTGAGAAGCGAATACATCGTGACGAGGTGGAGTTGCACTAGCAGTGTTCTCTGTAATAAATTGTGTCCGGACCTACCTGTGCACTGCCTTCAGCGTTCAAGGACATACCAGTAGCCTCTTTTTTCAGGGCCCAGCCGAGAAAAATGTGCAACTACGGACAAGGGGATTGCTAAGCACGTTCCAAGACTTGGATTGTTCACGAAAGGGCGCCCATGCGGTGAACAATTGCAACTATTGAGAAGCAGGTGGCGGGTACTTCAATGGAGGGCAATTTTGTTTGGTCCTCTATTGCGGTGTCTAGTTGTTGCTTGTTCGGTGGTTGTTATTTCCTTCCGTTGTTTTTGTTCGCCGCTGCTTGTGCTTATCCCCTAAAACCAGCCTGCTGGAATCGGCCTCAACATCCAGCAGCGCCAAGAAGAGGTCAGAAAACTCCAAAACCAAACACGCACAGCAAACAGAATCGAAACAAACTCAACCTGTCTGAGTGAAATGTGCCGTAGGAATTGACAGAAGCGATTGGCCGGATACTTGTCTGACAACATCCGTGACAGTCTGAGGACGCAAGTTGCGCAACCGCCAAAGCGCGGGCCCGTGCACCATGCCGATGCGGAGCAACTTCCTAGAGCTTTGCACATGGCGCGAAGGCTGTATTTCGTTAGAGACTCTGGTTGATAAGTTTGTTACGGTTTGTTGATGCTGTGCTGCGTATGTTGCTGGCTTGTCGGGGGCTTCGGATCAGGCGGTCCGGCCGGGGAGACGGCGTTCACATCGCTTGTGCCTTCAGAGTGTGTTCAGCGTGCCATGGCTTGCATCGTCGCTCCATTGTGTGCAATGCAGTCTAGGCACCGTACATTCCTCGCAAATCAAGGAGAAGAAAAGAAGCTGAGATGGACCCCCCACATGAAGATGATGCGCAACATCATGGCTGGGCGCGGCTCCACCTTGGGTCAGCCCTTGCCAGGGCCCTGCCACGCCCATGCTGATCGTGAAATTGATGGGGAAATGCTTCCGTTGTTTCCGCATCGTATAGTTCAGGTCCAGGCTTCTGGCTGAGAGATCCCGTTTGACGGATTCCGAGATCGCACAGACGAAGGTCACTTTACAGCAGCTTCCAAATCCTTTAAAGCTAATTTAAATCGGGCGTTAAAGCCCATGAAACGATACTCGCCTCTCAGGTCAAGCAGGTTCAGACTACGGAGTTGGGCCGCTTCAAACGTCCGAGTCTTCTTAGATCAAATTCACCCTTGGCTGGGCGACTTGCACGCAGAAGCATCGGCAGTTCTTGACCAATGTCGTCCTGTGGTCGACGTACGTTTTCCCATAAGCTGCGCGGCATATTCCTTCCAAGTTTTCCCGAAAGAACTTAAGGGGAACAGCAGGACTGTTAACCCAGAAGCCGATTCTTAAGAACCGGGACCCCACCTTATCATGCTTTCAGCACCAAGAAAACCCGTGGAGGCCGTGATTTTTGCCGCGACGCAAGCTCACATCACGTCTATATGCCTCCTGTACAATGCAGCTGCTGTACTCCCCTGTTCCAGTCCGAAGCACTGAGAATGCCGAAGAAGCTGAGCATTCTGAAACTGACTTGCAGTCTGCACGATCGTCGTTTGGGATTCGTGGTGATTGAAGGAAGTACTTGATTTGGGCCGGGCGTCGTGTTGCCAGCGGCTTCGCCACCCCCTTTCACCTGGAATGTTCCCCAGTCCTTCCCCCATTGCAGAACCAACCTCTCCGATTCTCCGACTAACAAAGCCAAAGCCATATAAAGCCATTTTGGCACCGGGTTGACACTACCGCTGCTTCCGGAGGTCCAGTCCTCTGGTCATTGCACACACCCAAACCAAGCGGCGGACGTAACTTGAACAACTGGCGCTCCGTTTACAAGATCCGGATTGCCCGCTGACAAGACTTTACTACTGCTTATTCCTCCGCGCCGCTTGGTGCCTCAGCACTGCATGCAGGGATGCCAGGCGCTTCATGACACAAGACAGCTACGCTCAGAAAGCACGAGCACTTACACGAGACTGCAAATTTCCGTCTGAGGAAGTCCCTGGCTGGGCTGAAGCACCGGAAGAGCGTCTCTGCAGGCCCAGCATCGTTCGGAAAACGCCGTAAACAGTCCAAATGCCAAAGGCGGGCAACTCGGTAGCCAAGCGCACCCAAGCATCAGGCCCCATCCAGGCTCGGAATTGAGCTTCGTTTAGATCTAGCATGATCTAGCAGTCCTAGCACCGCTCAACTTGGATGCAAATCTTTCAGCTGCTTGTCGTGCCTCTTTCTGCTGCCATTCAGGCTCCGACTTCTGGGACAAGTTCGAAAAGCAAGAGGCGATTGAGGCGGCTGAGCCATCCCGAGCGGAATCGCCGACACCGGCCAATACACAGGAAGTCAACTCGACTCTCACCCCAAGAGAGCTTGATAACGATGACAACGAAGAAGATGGCGGAGGCGAGTTGGGAGGAGCCTTGCGTGTGCCTGCTGAGTGTGTTGGGACATGGCGTTGGCTTCCAAGATGCGATGTGCGGTCAGGAGCTTGCCCGTCTGCAAGCAGCGATGATGCGGAAGAAGCGCTTTACCAAGTTAAGGACTCCGTGACTCCGTGCTCGTGTGTTGCAGATGCTTTACGCAGCGTCGAGACTGTGTTGAGGAGGCGGAAGCAGGAGCTGGCGAGCCAGACAAATCACTAATGGAACGCCGGCAGGTGTCGATTCCGGCGATTCTTTCCAGACGTGAAACCCATGACGGCGCCTGGAATGCAGCTCCCGTTCCTTCCAGCCTTCCCAAGACATACGTATTTCAGACCCCCATGCTCCATCGCAGTGGGAAGTAGAACCGCATCATGCATCAAGCCACACCACTCCCCACTCCGAGAGACAGTCCCAGGCATTTGCTCTGGTCAATCGCCCGACAATTCGCCCACACGCCGGCGCGTATCGACGGACAATGGTGCCTGGCAGCAGAAATGTTGTGGACTTTGCCTGTGTGCAGAGCAGCCTCCTCAGAGGTTTCAGGGAGTTCTCGTTTGGAAGAATAGAGGAAGGCGCCGATAAACATTGCGGGCCTGTGCGATTTTTATCGTCCCCCACAGGGGCCCCACACGGGCCCCAGAAGACGTCTCGACATGGACACGGAGCTCTGCCGTGTCTTTAGTGGAGGGGGCTCTGCATCCTTTCATGGCCAGCTGTAATGCGTTCATGCCTGGATCCGTGTCCTTGCCTCTCTGTACGTACATGTTAGCAACAGGAGCCGATACGATAAAGACAAGCTGTTCCATCCTCGCTAAACGATATCCTTAAGCTAAGCTACCCACAGCAATGCTCAGTTGCTCGATCTCAAAATGCAGGCGCAGGCTCCACTGCCTGCGACAAAAACGGTTACATTTGTCTTCCTGCAAGCTGCCAAGACTGCAAAACCAGTCAAAACCACAGCTCCAGAGATGAACAAATCGAATGGACCGTCCCAGGTGGACGTCGCATGATACCGCTACAGTACTGGGTGATTGCGTGGAGAGAATGGAGGTTGCTGCACGCTCAGTTGAGGCACCATGGGTCGCCTGCACATCCAGGCCATGCTGTTGAAGATGTCACTGGCCTGGTGCAGCATCAGCATTCTCCTAAAATTCCTGGAGCATGCTTGGGCAGGGGTTGGCTGACTCTCCGACGGGTTCCCGGACTGCAACCCAAGACAGTGCCTGGAATGCAGCTTCCATTTCTTCTTCCAAGCTCCAAGCCTCAGACCGGAAAGATGAAGGTAAGACATGGACAGACCCTTTTGATCCCTTTTTTCCCCTTTGCTTCATGGCATTCATCGCAGGGGGGAAGTAGAAACCACATCATGCATCAAGGCACACCACTCCCGCAGCCGAGAGAGGACACTCCGAGAGACAGCCTCAGGCATTTGCTCTGGTCAAGCGCCCGACAGCTCGCCCAAATGCCGGCGCGCATCGACGGACAATGGTGCCTGTCAGCAGTGATCAATCAACCCCAGGGGTTCGCAGGGGGTCGGGGGCGGTTGGGAGTTGGAAGTTGGAAGTTGTCATTTCAGTTGAAAGGGCATCTTCAACGTTGCAGGACGCAGGTGCGACGTTGGGGGCCATGACTTGCGGAATCTGCAGTTTACGAGGTGACAACAAACGGGGGGGTCGGGCGGCAACAGGCCACACAGAACCGTTGAACCCGTGCACAGCCTGGATCAGTTCGCTAGGACTTGGCACATGGAGTATCACGGTATGCCTCAAACACACTCAGGAACGGTGGAGACTTCGACAAAGCAGTGGGGTGGGTCGTGATTCACCTGCCACTGCCAGCCGACTGCGATGCAGCGAACGCAGAGAATCAAGCAGAAGACGAGGGGTAAAGCATACTACCAACACACTCCAGGGATCCAAGAGGGATTAATGACCCGCTTGGGCGTGAAAGCTGCAGGGGCACGAACAACACGCCCAGTTTAATGGACTAAAGACCAGGCAGCCAGTAACGGGCACAGCGGCACAGCTCAAGAAGGTTCAACTAGGGCTGCGAAGACGTGCATTTAAGAAGGCGTCGCAGACGCGAAGAGCAAAGCGTCACCCACATCCATACCGTCAACAGCTTCACGGCATTCGCGGCCTTTCGAATCCACCGCATTGACGGCTTCAATGGCACCAATTGGCACCAACCAAGCCTTTGGACGTCAGTGTGCAAAGCGCGTGACAAGAATCTGCGAACATTCGATGTTTTGGCAGGCAGGCATGGCAGTGTCGCATTTTTACGGGTTTCCAAAAACAACATGAACACAACATGAAGACCAAGTGAGCCAAGGGGCACCATATTCTCCGACTCTTCTTCACGCAGTAAACAACAAAGTGAGGCCATCTCAAGAATTCACGCAGCAACGGAAAGCACTGGGCATGGTCATTAGTTGCAGTCAGACCTGGATTTTCTATGAGCTTGCCATGGTTTCCCAACCTGGATTGAAAACTGCAATGTGGCAGCGAAAGAACAGAATTTACGGCTCAAGGTGACACCCAGGGTCGGCTGCGCAACGTCCGGGCCAGCATCCGGGCGACACTGATGAGCAACATGTCGCTGAGCTCAATGGCTCATCACATGAGCTTGGAAGATGCTTGGGTAAGTTGTGGCATGTAAGCCTAGTGTAAGCTTCTAAGCAGCCAGCACAGTTGTCAAGCCGGCTCTGGGCTGCCCCGGTCAAGTTGTTGGTGCTGGTTGCCCCCTAACTTTGGCCCAGCGTGAGGCAAAGCAACGCTGCAATGCAGGCCGCTGCGACCGACGCTCCAGACATCCACACACTTACTGTACGCGCATGAGGGGGACCGGCAGGTTATCAGGAAAACTCGGCAATTTGCGGAGGCGAGCCGAATCGGTAGTTTATTAGAAAGGATTGAGAGCTGACGTTGAAGAGGCAGAAAGAGAGCGGAAATGTAGAGCTATCAGAACGGAGTAGGCGAGCACTTGGTCACTAGGAAGGTACTAGAGAGGATGACTAAGGGATTCCGTTTCTGTTGTTTTGTGCTGGTGACCCTACATACGAAGTTTATTTGAGTTCCGGCGAAAATGTCGAAGAATCCAGATGTGTTTATCTTCAAGGGGGCGGCCGAATGCAGGTAGGCATCTAAGAACAAATCGCTTCAGATGTTTGCTCCACCTGGAGCCGCACATGAAAGGTTGGTTTGCCATGGTTTGCCGCTCGCTGATTGGTTTTACTCGTCGCTGGCATTGAACAAAGTCTTTGTCCCTCACAAATGCTCGTTTTCGCTCCTGCCAGGAGATACGTGACCGATTCGGAATGGTCAACGGAAGCATCTCGACACGGGTGAGGGGTTGGAAGGAAGAAGCTTGCGACGACCGGAACGAGGGAAGCAAGAGCGAAAGAGAAAAGTTCAAGCAGATTGCGGCCTGTTCAGGAGGATCATCCAGCTGTCTTGCCAAGGATTCTCCAGATCTGGGGTCTTATCAGATGAGGGCCGGACTCCAAGAGGACACTGATGTGCAAATGCCACCTGCGTCAACATGCTATGTCTGCCTGCAACTGTAGCCATGAGCCCTGTGATTGCATGCGCAGGAGGTGATGGTGATGACCTTCGCACACCTCGACCGGGTTCGGAACCCAGAGCATTGCTTATCGAGCAAGCGCACTGCCTGGCCCACCCCCGCCATGACGCAGCTAGCAACACCACAGTACCTGAGTCTCTGCCTTGTGCTTGAATGTTGTATGGATGTTTCGTACGCATGTGCACACGCGCGTGGAGTCTGCAGCGTCGAGGTGGGGTTGTGGTAGAGGTCCCTCACCCATGTCGCAGGTCGGAAAGCGAAGGTCAACAAGTCCGCAAAGAAAGGTCGGCCAACTGCATTGCCTTTAACGTTTAAGCCAGCCTCTATAGCTTCTGCTCTCAGAGGTGTCGCATTGGGAGGCACGCTTTGCCAAGGTGCAAAGGGCAAGGTCCGCGTGGCCGTGGGCGATGGAAAGGGGGGCTCGGAGCAACTGGAGCAGAAGGAATCTGCGGAAAAGGGCCCGCTTCCATTCCACATCATCAGCTCCACAACCGCACTGTTGAAGCAAAAGCTTTGCAACGGGATTTGCTGACAAGTCGTGCACCAAGGTTGGAGTTCCCAGAAGCAGGGCCAGCGATGCGCCGCGCAGAACTTGGAGCAGCAACCGGAAGACCAGGCCTGTTGCGTCGCAGAATCAGGTTAGGGGAAGGGAAAGGAGATCAGGACTTAGAGAACTACGTATAAAAAAAGAAGCTGTTTCGAAAGAAACAACTTGTACCCTCTTTTGCGGAGGTGCGACAAGTTGCCGAGCTCGAGGGCTGCGGGAGCCCTATGAGTGTAGGACCTCGGTGGGAGACCGACGGTCCACCGGAGCATTGCCTCTTCTTGGATCTTGGTGCCGAAGCCGCTTCTGGGCTTCTTAACTTAAGGGGCTTTCCGAATTCAAGGGTACATTCTTGGGGTCCTTAGAAAAGGGGAACCCTATACTATTTGGGGGGTCCAAGTAAGGGGTCCCTTATTTCGTAAGGTTTTAAGCCCCCACTTGGCTCGAGTTGTGTTTATTGATGTTCTACGGAGCTTGTCAGTTCTACCTGGTATGAATATGATTTGAAGCTGCTTTGAGGAGATTTCTCGGGTGAAGTTGCGCTGTTCGGGCACCCTCTATGATCCAAAGAGCGTCACGGTCATGCGCGCCGTCATTGGTGTCCTTGAAGTGGTTAAAGAGCATCGCATGGCGGAAGAGGCTCGACCATTTCGGGTTTAGGTTGTAGTTAGGGCCGAGGATTTCGGCCATGACCTGTTTTTCTAGGAACACTTCCCGAGCACCTGCATACCACAGCAGGTAAGTCAGGAGTTGGGGGGAATGAACCAAGCATTGTTTAATTTTCCAGATGTTATCTACAAGTTTTTCTTGTTGTTCAATATCGGATGAAGAAAGTAAGAAAAAGTTGAGGAGAATCCAGGGCACACAGAGACAACAAAGAGAAGAAACCAGGAAAAACCCACAAACACTTGGCGATGACTGCATACATGTCCGGGAGAAGGCCGCCTGTCCTCGTCGAAAGCCGCAGTGAAAGTGGGGACCATACTGATACGCAACTACACTAGATTATATTTCAGGCCTAGCGGCACGGGCCGGCCCCCGCCCCCCAAAGCACGAAACCTTGAACCTTGGCACTGTCTTCTCTTTCCCGTGTCTTTGTCCTCTCCTTCTCTCTGTCTCTCTTTCTCCTGCCTTCGCCCCCCCTCCCTCCCCCCCCCCCCCCGGCGCGCGCGCGCGCGCACGCGCACCCGCATCAGGAGCATCAGTGGGGTTGGTTTGGGGGCCTTAAAAGCATTCTATGCATGCGTTTTGCCTTCGAAAAACCTTCAGAAAACGCTGTAAACACGTGTTTTTGGGCTTGGGAAGCCTTTTGGGACCCAGGAAAGGGAGCATCATGAGCATCAGCGGCCTCCCCCAGGCCATCCAAAACCCCCTTAAACACGCCGATTGTATGTGCTTGAACGCTTGCGTGCCCACGAAACCCCCAAAAGCAAGACCCCGAATGCCCTTAAGGGCATTCGGGGTCCTGCTGTTCGGGTGTTTTGTAGGCACGAAGCCGTTCGAGCGCGTAAAATGAGCGATTTTAGGGGCGTTTTTACGTGGACCCACAAAACACTCGGTATTTACGAGGTTTTCTGCTGTTGGAACACCCCCCCAAACCGAGCATCATGAGCATCAGCTGGGTCTCTGGGCCGTGGGCCCGGACCCCCCCACGAAGCCCAAGAGAAGCGATGGCTCGATGATGCGCCCGGACCCCGCGCATCAGCAGCATCAGCAGACCCCCCCCCGGACGTGGGTTTCGATGATGCGCACTTTGGGGGCGGGTCAAGGGCAACAGGGGTGGGGGTCGGAGGCACGCGTGAAAAACCTCATAAAAACACGGTATTTACGGTGATTTCAGCGTTTTTCAGCGTTTTTTATTGCCTTGGGCCCGCGGGCCAGGGCTGCTGATGCTCATGATGCTCGCCTGGTTTTGGGCTTCCGGTACCCCCCCCAAACCTTGAAAAACGTGGTTTCGGCCTGGCGCGCGCCCCATGTGAAAAGCTAGGGCCGATGATGCGCGCCCGTGAGGGTTTAATGGGGTGCTGCGGGTGTTTTGTGGCCTCGGTTTTTCGTAAAAACCCATGGGTTTTACGAGGTTTTCGTGCTTTTCGCACCACCGCGTGTTGCGTCCCCTTGGATGCCGTTTTGGAGGCCTCCCGAAGGGCCCCGCGCGAATTTGAAGCAATTTTGGGCGGGGTCGGCGGCTCGGGCGCTCGCCCCTTAAAGCTAGCGCTTTAGTGCGACGCGGGCTCCGCCCTGGACCACGGGCGGCGTGGGGGCCGGATTTAAGAGCCTCCGGCTCAAGCCGCCGACCCAACAAGTTGACAGTCCTTCTGGTGGTGCTTGGGGGGGGGGGGTGGGGGGGGGGGGGGGGGGGGTTGGGGGGGGGGGGTGGGGGGGTGGGGGGTGGGGGGGGGGGTTGGGGTGGGGGGGCGGGGGGGGGGGTGGGGGGTGTGGGGTTGATGGGGGGGTGGGGGGGGGGTGGGGGGGTTGAGGGGGGAGGGGGGGGGTGGGGGGGAAGGGCGAAGCGGGCGGAGCGGGCGGGGAAAACGGAGGGGGGCATGGGCATGCACTGGAGTTCAAGGGCATGGAGGGAGGTGGGACGGGGTGGGGGTGGGGGGCGGGGGGGGGGGCGGGGACTGGGCAGGTGGGGGAGGCGTAGGGTAAGGGTGGGGGGGCACAGGGGGTGGGCGGTGGGGGGGTTGGGGGGGTGGGCTGGGACTTGGGCTGGGGCGGGGTGCAAGGAGGTAGGTGGGGACGGGCAGTGGTGAGGGGCTGGGGGGGTTTGAGGGGGCTGGGCGGGGGGGTGGGGGGGAAGTGGGTGGCCTGGGCGGGCAAGGCTTGGGCGGTTGGGCGGTGGGGGGTGGGCGGGGGGTAGGTGAGGGGGCGTGGGGGCGGAAGGGGCGTGGAGCCCTTAAAACTCAGCTTTGACGAAGGGGGGTGGGGCTGGGACTGGGGCGGGAGGTTGGGGGGGGTAGGTAGGGACGGGGTGGGGGTGGGGGGGCGGGGGCCACAGAGGGGAGGCTGCGCGGGGCGGCACTTGGGGCGGGTGGGGGAGGAGGTGGGGACGGGGTTGGGGTAGGGGGGGGGGAAGTTGGGGGGTTGGTGGGGACGGGGTGGGGGGGGTAGGGGAGGCTGGGCGGGTGGGGGGGTGGGCGGGACTTGGGCGGGTGGGGGAGTAGGTGGGGACGGGGTTGGGGGGGTGGGGGGGGTGGGGGGGGAGGGGGAATGCATTGGAGCCCTTAAAACTCAGGGGGGGGGCTGGGACTTGGGCGGGGAGTAAGACTCAGCAGGTTTTCAAGGGCATGGACAGGGGGGGTGGGTGGAGGGGGGGGGGGGGGGCACAGGGGTTTAGGGTTTGAGGTTTAGGGTTTGGGTTTAGGGGAGGGGGGGCTGGGGGGGGGTTGGCGGGGGTGCATTGGAGCCCTTAAAACTCAGGGGGGGGGCTCGGTGGAGCACTTAAGACTCAGCTTAGGTTCAAGGGCATGGAAGGGGGGGTGGGTGGAGGGGGGGGGGGGGGGGGCTGGGCCACAGGGGGGTGGGGGAAAAAATTACTAAAAGGGGGATTCTCAGGACTTACTCATCATTCGTTGCCCCCCTCCGCTGTTATTTCAATTCCTAACATACCTTCTTCATTTTCTTCCCCCCTTCCACCTTATTCGCTTTTCAGAAGGGGCTTCTAGGGGTTATTGACCAATATTGCCCTTTTACCCACGGTTTTCAGCATTTTTTCACCAATTCATTCCACCTCATTCATTTTTCAACTCCACTCCCTAACATTCTTTCCAATATTCCTACCACCGCCCTTCATTCATTTCCCCTAATTTCCATCCTACTTTTCCAAAGCTCCCTAACAATATTCTTACCAAAGCTCCCATTGCTTGAAGTCTTTTATCCATCATATTAATTATTTTAATATGATAGTTATCTAATCCATTTCATCTAAATTCAAATACAGATTTTATTTCCATAATTCAATATTTTCTTTACAACATTTGATACTCTTCAACTTACAGCTTTTGTCAGATATCTTTTTTGACAAGTCAAAATAGCACGATGACTTTTTATTAAGCCACACAACAAGTTCTTCTGAATTATCTTCATCTAATGCTTCTATTCTGCTACTATACTTAAATATTTTCTTATAAATATTGTCTATGTCCTCATTTAATTCTTCAAGTTCAATTTCATATATTTTCAGTTCTTCTTCTTTCTCCTTAATACGTTTCTCGCTCATTGCACTAATATTATAGGGCGTTTTGTCTTTAAGTCATTTTATATTTTCAATCAACCAACAACAACTCGTGTCTATTATAGTGCTTTTCCCTACCTTCCAAAAGATAATATTTATTAAGTTGCGGGTCTCTTTTTACTTCCTTGACTTCATAAGTTCTTTCAGACCATTGAATGCGTGTCTCTTTCCTGCTGGTATAGTTGCCTTTGCCTTTATCAAAAACTTTAACCTTATCTCCGACTTCAATCTTTGGATATCTCCTTAAATACTTTTCTTTCAACACTGTGTTAGCCTTAACTTCAACAGAATTATCGTCTTTATGTGCTTCGTCTGGTATCATTCCAGTTGTTGAATGAACCATCTTTTTATTATACTTATCCATAACAGGTTTTAATAATATAGTCCAAGCCCCTTTTGTTTGTAAAGCTCTATCACCAATCATCTTTTTAAATGTTCTAATCGCTCTTTCTGCTACATTAGCGTGAGTTAGTGTTACAATGTGCGTAATACCCTCACCTTTGAAATAATCCTGCAATTTCTTATAATTAAATGCTCCATCGTGGTCAGTATAAATACTTTGCGGTTGTCCTAATACTTTGAAACATTCTAGGAAAGCTTTATAAACATCTTCTCCATCTTTGTTTTCCATCGGCACTACGTGAGTTTTCTTACTAAAATTATCAATACAAATCAAACCGTATCTTTTATATTCTTCTTTAAAGGTGTCAGTGTCTTTCATCAAACTAGTCATATCCATAATATCAATAGAATAAACAGCTCTCGCAAAAGGAGGCGAATAACTGTTTGAATTTTTATAGTTTCTTCTTTGTTTGTTAGGTTGTTTTTTAACCCACTCCTTAACTTCATCTAGCGTTATTGCAAGACCATCTTTCTTCGCTTCTTCATACAAATTTCTAACGCTTCCATAACCCCTTTCTAAATCATAATATATCTTTTCCAGAACTTCGTTTTTACTCATATTTAATATTAATAATATTTTATTAATATTAAATCATCCAAACAAAACCTTTCTTACAATTCGTTCTCCTAATTCTGCCTGTCTCTTTTCTTCCGAAAGTCTTTGACACTTAACGCTTTTGTAATGCTTACTTCTTATTGTGTTTGTTGATAGCATACTACCACATCTTTCACATTCATATTCGTGACTGTTGTTTTTAAAGTAATTCTTAAAATATCCTTCTTCTCTGTATTTTGCATTTAAACGGTCATTATGAGATTTCTTCTTCAACTTCCTTTGAGCCATTACTTCATCATTTGATTCAATTGAGTTCCACATTGCATCAAACAAGTCTTCATCAATACATAATTTTTCTCCATTTTCTGAAACAAGAAAAGAATTCATTTATCTTATCTATTAAATATAAATATTTCTTTAAGTGATTTTTCTTTTAGGATAAAAATCATTTGAAAGAAATATTTATTTATCTACTTCTTCCTGACGAACTCCTAGACCTTATGTATTCAATAGTCCTTTCCGAACTGGCAACACTAACGGGATTTGAACTTTGTAAATATTCCACTGTTCTATCTGATGGCACTGAACTTTGAACTGTTTCCGGAGGGCTAGATTGAACATATTCACTCAATGCCC